ATTTAATACCCAATAACAGACCCAATGGGTATTTTATCAAGTTAATTTATGACTATACTATACTGTTACATTCATAATGGGCACAGTATATAAAACTTAAAATATGGGCAAGGGTAGCGTGTTCAAGTCACACCTGACCACCGTAAATAAAACTTAAAATATATGTGTTGGTAACTTTTTAGACATGATGTGTGATGTGTGACTCAAATAGGGTTCCCTTACTTGTATATGATGTTTTATATTTTAAATTCCGTTTGCTGTGTCCATTTGTGACTCTTATAGGTTACCAAACAGATCAATTTTAAGTTTTATTTACGGTGGTCATGTGTGACTTTAACAGGCTACCCTTACCCATATTTTAAGTTTTATATACGTTACCCATTATGACTGTAACAGTATAGTTTAGTCACGAATTAACTAAATAAAATACCCATTGGGTATTTAAAAGTCCAATTTATGAAAATAACGTTCTTAAGCCCCCGATGATATTTACGGGGAAGAAAATTGTTTTGGCAATTTAGTGGTCATTAGCCTCGACGTGACCTATGGAAATTAGTCGCTCCCATCTTGTTGTCCGAAAATATCCGAATGAACCCAACATAATTGTGGTATCACACAACAGTTTGTGTTCACTATTGAACATAATGACCTCAGCACCGAACAGTTTATCATCTGAACTGAACATAATGATAGTACCAAAAACCACTGAACATAACGACCTTTGCACCGAACAACACAATGACTTGACTGAAGAAGATATAATCAGCACACAAGATAATGATAGTACCATTTAACAGTTCTATTTCACGACTGAACAGAAGGAATAAAGCACCCAACAGCATGTCATTTCAACTGAAAATAATAAGAGTATCACCCAATAATACACTGCCTCAACCAAACAAAATGATAGTACCACTCAACTGTTTATTTCCATGGTTGAGCATGATGAGAAGAGCACCAAACAGCATATTATTATAACCGAACATAATAACTGTAACACCCTACAACATATCTTTTTAACTTAACATTATTGTGTTACCACATGCCTGTTTGTTTTAAGAACTGAACATATTGACTTATGCACCCGATAATACATTGACTTGACTGAATAAAATACAGTCAGCACACAACATAGCACTTCAATAACTGAACACAATAGGATTTCCACCCAGCATTTTGTATCTCGGACTCAACAGAAAGACATTTAACCATGTATATCATTCATTCTTAACATAAGACAGTCCAGGCGTTCCATATATTCTGCTCATAAAGAACGCGAGTGGAGACCAACGATGGTGAGTAACACACACGGAAAGCGGTCCACACAATAGCAAGCCCCATAAACCTATTGGAAAGACGCCTTTTTTTGGCATTTTCAGTAAAACTTCGGATTATGAGTATGGTAAAATTGGCGGGCTTTTCCGATTGAGCTATTGGTCATCGTACAGGAAACGAGATAACAAATTTCGGGGATAGAGGTTTAATTCATGGTAGGGATTCAATTCAATGCGGGGGGAGAGTCATGAATTATACTTTAATACTTAATATGCAAAGACTCCAGTCTTGTTTAAGTACGTCGTGTGGTTTCGACGAAAATGACCCGAGATTACAATTTATGCACGTCGGAAAACACCGGCCAAGTTTCGATAAATGTTTTTTTCTTATATTTCTATCTATAAAGCATTTCCAAAGAAAAGTGCGAAATTAAAAGTAACATGACAGTTTTAAATAAGTGAAGGACTGTTTTTGTTAAGCGACTCGGGCATCTGTTCAAGACGTTTGGTTAAAGAAAGAGATGAAGAAAACCCTTCTTTCAAGACATAATATGACATATAACCATATGACATATAACCGTATGACATATAATCACCGCATGACATGCATGTGGTTAATTATATAATTGATTAACAAAATGCCACAGCTGAAGCCAATTTCTTATCATATTGCATAGATAACTAAACCTCAATGACTAATAACTGATCTTTGCAGACGCGATGGACACGTGAGTTAGTTCTCAGGAATGTTTGAACACGTGCTTTTTACGAATACATATTCATTACTTTAATTATCCGTACTTAATTTCCATATCTAAGAACATGAAAACAATTGTACTGTAAAATTTATACTAAAATACGTTGTCTATATTCAATCGGCTTTGTAACATAGAACCTTATACGATATCATAGATGCATCTTAACTCTTGTATCAAATTATTCAATAATTCAACATAAAGTTGCTGTGGTATTCTATTCTTTATATTGATCTAAAATTACATATAATTGAGCCGCGTCACGACAAAACCTACATAATGGCTTTGCGACCAGCATGGATCCAGACCAGCCTGCGCATCCGCGCAGTCTGATCAGGATCCATGCTGTTCGCTATCAGTTTCTCTACTTGTAATAGGGTTTGTAAGCGAACAGCATGGATACTGATCAGACTGCGCGGCTGCGCAGTCTGGTCTGGATCCATGCTGGTCGCAAACGCATTACGTTGGTTTTGTCGTGACGCGTCTCATATAAGATCATTGTGATATTTGTATATAGATCTATTTATTGTAAAATCGTTCCCATTTGTATGACGATGTATACCTCTGCACATACTTGTACAATATGAAAATAAAATATATTTCATGTTCTATTCTGTTCTGTAACTGACCAACATTTAGTTTAAGTTGGGTTTAATTGACACTGGGAATCGAAAGCTTGATATGTAAACAGCAGCAATTCTCATTGATTAGTGCATGATAAAAGTAACATATTTCAAAGGTCAGATCTTTTGTATGTAACGTATGTAATAGGTAACATGTTTTGCATGTAGATATGAACGTATGAAAATGTACAAATCTTATAGATTTATACAGAGCTTTTGGTTTTTGTTTTCATATCGTGATCATTTTAGCACAAGGATTTTTGTTCATAAGTTTTATGCATGTGCAGTTGATGATGAAATCTATTCTTGCTTAAAAACGTTTTTTTTTTTTTTTTTTTTTTTTTTTTTTTTTTGATCCACGAGTGCAAGATCCAAAGAAATTTCACTCCAATCATTTTGCGTTACATTATTTGAATTTTTCTTTTATTGCATTTATAAACAATTCACGAATAGAATAATTCACGAAAATGTCCTTTGTGAAAAAAACACGAAATTTTGTTCCCACGAAATTAAGGAGTTTACAGTACATATTGTACAGGTGAAGACATTTCTAAGAGAGGTATATGTGAATTATTAACCTAGTTCAAAGCAGCTTGAGTATATTATCGTATTAAAGACAACTCATCAACAGCTCTACTTAAGTAGACACACTGTAATAACGGATAATTCTTAGCATAGTTATTATAGTGTTTGTACATTAAAGGCCCTAGTCGTGTTTTTAAAGTAATGGTGAATGTACATAAATATATAAAACATTAAAATCTTTCTACGACAATATTAATTCCATAAGAAACAACGCGGTCGCCACATGTCACAATAAGCCAATATTTATTATTTACACACCGGGTGACAAAATGGCGCTAAAATAATCATATTATGTGCCAAACTATACAAAAATAGACTTACACCTTTTGTATTTGTGTCAAACTGTGTCCATAATTAAAAAAATATATGTTGTTTTCCCCCTAGGTTTTATGTGATATTGACCATGCACTGTAATGTCAAAAAATGGCGTCTTTTCCAGATATACTGGTGGAGGAAGACTTCACGTGCCACTCCGTCGATTTATTTCAGGCACGAGTCACTGGCGGAATTCGGAACGTGAGGGATATGTAGTTTAAAGACAAAAATAGTAACTTCAAACATAGCCTATGGAGCTTTTAGATAATTATAAATTTCTCAAACTTTTAGATTTCATTATGAATTTTTCAAAATCTCAAACTCTTAAGTGTATTCTCATAACGACTGTTTTTGTCTCGAAACTTTGACGTTTTATATGGACACATGTTTTAAAAATTTCTAAAACTCTTAGTGTGTTCCTATCACAGATTGATTCCATTTTTTTTCGAACCTTTGATGTTTCATTATATGGACGCATGTTTTGTTGTTGTTGTTTTTGTACCGTGGGTGTCTTAATCGGATTAGTATGGTACTAATAACCCAATCCTTCATGTTTCTATAGCAATGCAAAACTAAAAAGAGGTTTTATGCGCAGGCACTCGCTTTTTCACGTTCTACATATATATAATATATTTTTAAATTAATATTATATATTTTTAAATTTTTTTATAATATAATATTATTATTATAATATATAAAAATTATATTATATAATATATTAGCCCTATTTTCTCCAGGTATTTTTGTTCCATCACATATGTATGTCGACCATGAATGATCATTTACGTATTTTGGTCATGCATGGTTTGGTTTTTTTAAAATAATTTTCGGCCCATTTTAGTAATTTTTAAAAAAAACATTTGGGCATGAAAATTTAGTTTAGCCAATTTGACGCCGTTTTATTTGTCTTTCTCCAAGCCACGTTTGTCTTTTTGCCACATTAAAATTTAGTTTTTTAACCACTGGTGAAATTTCTAGTCACGTTTGATTTATTTCAGCTATATTTGGACCATTATGTTGGTTCTAGCCCTCAATACTTTTGCTATGTTCAATATTCACGTATGTTCAATATTCACGTAAAATGTTCACCAGTTTAACATCATTATTTACATTGTCACCGCAGATCTTCGTAATGAACGCTCTAAGATTTCGAACTTCCACACAAATCTCCAGAGTTTATTCTTTACATGCTTATACATGAATCTTTAAGCGCACGTGAATCATCTGCTGTCTTGTAAAGATCGTGCCATGCTAGCCGGAATGCACAGTCCGGTAGATGATTCCATCATAACCGGTTACACAAATAGCACGTGACCAGTATTATCTCGTGCACATTCTGAACTTAGTGATCAATAATAAAGGTCTCTTCGTATCTTCTGTTACAGTTTCATTAAAACGTTTATGTTTATAATTACAACAAAATGCAATAATGCTAAAGGATTTCTTACCTTGTATGGACGTACAACCATCACTGCTTCTATGGAAGCGGTGGGTGCCATCTTCTCCGTATCACTCATTTTTATCGTCTGCTGCTGTAACTTAAACCCGCCGATTAAATATTAACAATCACTTCACAAAACTACACTTTAAAATTCCAAGCACTGGTAACAACGAAAACAATCCTCTTCCAAGAATATTGGTAATCAAATATTAACTTTGTAAATTAATCCAGTCAATCTAAATCAAGAAAATAAAAATAGATTTCTCTTTCTTTACAAAATACGCGCAATGCTTACATTTTTATTTACACTTGGCATAGATTTATATACATTCAAGATTAACTGTAAAAATCCATTGTTGCTATATATAAATAAATATTATACACGAATATAGAGAGTCAATAAGCCCGGTGAAAAGACCGACTTATTACTGAAGAAAATCTATATATCATACATTCAAGCACTATGCTCCCGAGTAAAGACTACGGTATCGGCAGATCTCAATTCGATGATACCTTCTGGTTCTAATTAGCACCTATATCATGTATATATAGCGGTTTAGATAATAATAGACCCCGCGTTCCTGTACAGTAATCAACCAGGGTTTGCTCGTTATTAGAAAGAACGAATTCTGGCATACCGCTGTGCATATATCATACACAATAATAGTTCTACTATAATAAATAAATGTAAAAGATAGACAGCATTCTAACTACAACACTGATTTCATTACATAGGCTGTATGTTATTAGAAAAATATCCTCCTCGCGCGCATGTGTGGAAATAGGTTTTTCTCATTAGATCAGATGAGAAAAACAAAGGTATCGTTAAATTATTTTTCAACGAATAATGAAATAGCTTTACTGAATGAAAACTCTGCTATCTAACTGTAACAGTACCTTGAAATATATTCCGAAAATTACATGAAAAAAATTCCATGGATATCTCGTTAACTTAATAACTCAAAGGCCAATAAAAGTCAAAGAATTTATAACTCGATCTACCATAGCTTATTTGCGCTTTTACACTTTGTTTTAACAGGAATAATTTATGTATAGATCTGATTTAAAAACACTAGAGTTATTAAATGTTATTGATCCAGATACATGTAGTTTTTCATTGACACAGTAACGAAAGCATTTATGCATTTATGCATACAAAAAAAAAATATTTTCCCCCGGAGCGAGATGAAAATATTGAAATATCCGTTGCCTTGTTCGTGTTTACCATGCACATTAACTAAAGCCAGATGCTGCAGCAGTATTCAATAATAAATTAACATAAGTATGACATTTAATAGCTTTAGCTTTGTTTTAAAGGCACATGACGCCTTGATTTATGTTGTGATGCACAAAAATACATATGCAAACGAGATGATCGGCACAATGAAAAATGTCCTGTGACTTTAGGTCAAAGCCTGATTTTTCATTGTATCAAACATATCTATAACATATTTCGTAATTTTAATGTATATTTTGTAAAATTTAATTAACTGTGCGTTCTCCACCCCACCTGCACAACTTCGCCACACGCACGTTCAATGTTTATAAATAACTGAGTAAAAAATCTGTAACTCGAGAAAATTGTATAATTGCGGAAAATGGGCGCACACATAACCTTCGGCCGATGGCAGACTGATAGTGTGACTTCTCTTTTAATAAATACCAGATACCGGGATCTCCGTTCAGTCCATAGGTGAAAAATGCCCAGGTTGCTTTTAAAACGTTTATCAAACTTTACAAGTTGATAAACCGACATTTGATTCATTTTATCTTTCAGCCGATGTTTTTAGCAATCCGGACCTCTTGGTTAAGGGATCTGCTCCTAAACCCAAGGGCCACGGGATCGAATCCTATATAATATAATGGTCACGAACATCTTTCCTTCTACACTAATTTAAAAATGTTTAGTCCAAGCAAGCGGACGCAGAGTTGAAAATTACTTTGCAGCAGACAACATAAAAGTTAATTTAAGGCAGATGCACGCGTATTTTATCGAACGCTTGAATTATTTATTTTCTTCAATATATATAAAATCAGATATATTATAAGCATTCATTCTTGTCTATACAACGGGCGAATGTTTATCGACAGAAGTTTTAGATCTATCATAGCAACGTAACATCGGAAACTCGAGTAATAAAAACGGATGCTATACTACAGAAGCTAATTTCGTAATTTGTTACTAATATGTTTTAATCAGCGCGCGTGTTTTACTTGAACGATATATGAGCCGCGTCACGACAAAACCAACATAATGGGTTTGCAATCAGCATGGATCCAGACCAGCCTGCGCATCCGCGCAGTCTGATCAGGATCCATGCTGTTCGCTATCAGTTTCTCTACTTGTTATAGGGTTTGTAAGCGAACAGCATGGATCCTGATCAGACTGCGCGGATGCGCAGGCTGGTCTGGATCCATGCTGGTCGCAAACGCATTACGTTGGTTTTGTCATGACGCGGCTAATATATATATCCATTAAGCTTGAGACAAACGGCAGGAAGCCAAGTTGTCGGCTCGATTCGTTATTCCAAAATCAATGTTTAGTAATATTAGTATTTATTTGCAAACGACTGGAGTAATCAGCGGGGGCGTTTTCTGGTAAATTAGAAATTTACGTGAGGAAAAAAGGACATTATTTTTATAATTATTTTTTATAACTTGTAATTGAGAAGACAAAATGATATAAATGATACGAAACACGAGATTTCCGTTTATCATTTTACAATGCTTGATAAATATCTAAAAAAGGAAATGTTTTTGCAGACGACACTGACTTTGTTGTTGTTGTTATCCAACTATGCAACCGACAATACATGTACATCTTAACATACAGGGAAAAAGTGGCATGTCATTGCTGCCGCTCCCACGTACTGACCCCCCGTTCAGACCCCTCCCCTTGTACAGACCCCGTGCAGCAAAACCGCAGTGGATGATTGAGTTCTAGGTTCGAGTCAACATTTGACTTTCCTCAAGATTACTTCGACGCTTTTTATCAAGGTCAGTTTAAACCACAATTGTGACTTTATACAACATTGTGATGGAAAAAAACTATGGTTTTATATTAATAACTATTTCATTGATTTCTTTATAGTCTGTTTTCATGCACCAGTAGCACTTTTTGGAATTGACCCTCACAATTTATTCTTCAAAAGACCACAAAATTATAGTTAGATATTTGTCCTAAACATTACCAATATTTTCAATCAAATTGTAAAGCAAATGACAAATTAATATTTAAAATAGATTGAACTGGAAACAAAACAAATCTGAATTGTTTTTTTACAATAACCTGACCAGATGATATCATATAAAAGTCACTGGCATTGTTCGTGTTATTTGATCAGCTACTTTTAGATATCAAACATTTAATGATTTTCATGACATTGCGATGTCTAGATAAAATGTTATTGCTTAATTACTAATGGACTTCATTGCCTTGTGGACATTGATTGGCTTTTATATCTGAAAAGTCCACTACAAGTACATAGGAAAACAATGATAATGATTTTGACCAACTAGTGGCGGATATAAAAATCTTGTCATAAAAATCTTGTCATTTTACCGAGCGTATAATGGCAATATGTGTTTGAGTGTATATATGTTATTGATTTTTTCCCCATTTTTTATCCGTGAGTCCCTGGTTCTTTCCATTTTTATTTCTTTTGTTTGTCACCAAATTATATTATTTAATATTTCTAACCTAAAATATTGTTGTGTTCAAGTTTCAAATTAACAAAGTTATAGCCACTAGTAACAAAAATCAAGCAAAATGTAGACATTTGACCTTGAAGGTCAAGGTCGTTTATGAATGAAGATCAAGCTTAGTCTGGTCTACTTAAAGGTCTTGTCAAAAGGGTTGTTGTGGCCAAGTATGACTTTGGTATACATAATTTTGGAATTTTTTCTAAGTTAAAAAAGATGCACAATTATGTCAAACTTAAACAACCAGAGTTATGAGACGTGACACACACACACAGATGTTTGATATGTCATGTTTATTAAAGTATGAACAATTTCCATATACTAATAACAAAGTTATTGCCAATCATAGCAAAAACAGTGAATATTCAATAATTACATCTTCAATGTCAAGGTCATTTAAGAGTCAAGATTAAAGTTAGTTTGCTCTTCATAAAGGTCTTGCCCTAAAGGATGTTGTGTCTAACTGAGAAGATAATCTATCATTCATAAATAACAAATTTATAACCAGTTACTTTGAAAAATTAGCAAAATTCAGTAATTTGACCTTGAATAACATGGTCATTTATGACTCAAGTCAAAGTCAGTTTAGTCAACTAGAAGGAACATTTCAAAGTCCTGAGTGTTGTGTCCAAGTATGAAGACTTTGTTTCATTTTTGAAAATTTTCAAAGTTAAAAAGGGGAATAATTATGTCAAACTCACTATCAGAGTTATGAAACTTGACAGAAAGTTGCATTGTGCTATTGCATTTATATTTCAAGCTCCAATTTGATACCTATTACTGATACGGGACAGTGCAAAGTGATTCCTATAACGAGAAAAGTTTTCATCATTGATATTAAATTGATCAATAAGAAAACATGGAAAATTTATTATTCAATTTAATATTCAAAAAGAAACAAATGCCCTATGAGACCTACATCATTAACTTTTTACCCTAGTGATTCTTGAATATAAATGTGTAGAAAATTGACTTGCTTTATTCTATACCAAGCAATTCCTAAGCATATAACATAACAAATTCATGATAAAACAGTTTCAATCAATATTTCAACTGAACGATTTAAATCCATCACTCGATGGCATATCAAAAAACAACTACATGTACTATGTGAATCAATTTTATGTTGAATCTGCTTTTTGTTACTTTCATTATAAAAGCTGCATGGCTCAAGATGATCTAAAATATTTCAAGAAAATCAATATTAAGAAAAATGCACTAAACTTTTAAGAAAGGTAAAATCAATCAAGATCCAAGTTATATTTTTCATGTTATGTGCTGTTTAACACTGATTTTGCAGTATTTCATTACCATATTTCTACTGGGTTACTAACTCAGTAAGGGCTGTTTTTGCATATGTTGACCACTTTTTGGTAATTTTCGTGGATTCTAAGTGCCGACTGCAATATGTAAATTATTTGTTTACCTAACTTTACTTTACTTTTAAATACATTTCCAAAAACTTTATGAACATTAGCAGGAATCTGAAGGGGTGCTGCTTTAATTCATCATGTATGGACTACCAACACAGATATGTATCAATTTGAAAATATTAGTTGTAAATTGATTCTTGAGATTTCAATTATCATGAATCAACAAATTCAATATTAATATAAATTTTATCTCATCATCATCTTGTAATATTAGTTTTTACATTTATAAGGTACAGAAAATACACAACCCCTTTGGGATTAAATGTACAATTTATTTTTAGTTTGATTGTGTTGGAAGCTTTATGTTTATTGAAACACTCTGGAACCAACCGGTTCTAAGCAATGAGTGTAAAGTTTCTTGCTCACAGAAACTACAACTTGTCCCTTGGCAGGGTTTGAACCCAAATGGCCTGCAATCCTTAGTTTACTAGTATGACGCGTTAACACCACAACTTACTATTGAAATTGAATCATTTGCCTGACCTCTTATCTTGTCTATTTCCAGTTCACTGTTTACTGTACACTATTCTTAGTTCACTGTTTACAGTACTGTACACTATTCTCAGTTCCCTGTTTAATGCACGGTTTTCAGTGAGGTGTTTCTACTATATGTTTTCTGTTTATTTGTGAGAAAATACCAAGTTCACTGTTTACTATGCAACACTACAATTAAGCCATTTCTTGTTCACTGTTTCCTATACATTAAACCTAGTTCACTGTTATATGGTCACTGTTTTATGTGCACCATTTTCTCTGCATTACATTCTGTCAATACTTAACATGTATAATTTCCCTTTAATTTCTTTGCTTTTACTTCCATACTTTTCTTTCTCTTGCTACACTTTTCTTCTTGTTTAGTGTTGTCAGCTTTTTCCTGTACTTTTAAGTTCACAACGTAATCTTCATTTTCTGAACCTCAGTGTCACAAATTTGGTAACGGTATAATGTTCAAACAAAGACAGCTTCTGCAGTCTGGGTTTTACGAGAGCTTGCACATCCCGGGCAGGAGTGAAGAGTCTCGTGCACAAATATATCACAGTCAATACAGAATATACGCTTGCACTTTCTACACTGGTACACCTGGAATAAACATCATTGTAAGAAATATGTCACATCATTTACAAGCAGCCACGAATATTTTCATAATTCATGATAAAGATCAGCCAACACATATGTTTTGTTTAATCATGGTTACACTTTTCACTATATAGTTAGTAAATAATTCTAAATAAACCCTAAAAGAGATGAATGGTTTTATCCAGATTGTTTCTTCTTTTGTAGTTTTTGTTTTTAAAAAAAAAAAAAAAGTCACACTGACAATTTTAAGGTTATATTGTGACTTTCCAGTTTCCTACTAAGGGAAGAACGCCTCAGATGCCACTTTGTGCGTAATTTTAGGCAGAGGAGCATCTGAGAAGAACCACCGACATTCTGTATGCTGGCTGGATGTGAAAGACAGAAAAGCCCATTTAAGATATTTAGAATGGTAAAGTTGAATATAACAAAGGAAGCCCAAAGAGTATAACATTGTACTTTATGAAGTCGGTGCAATTTTAAACCCCAACAAAATTAACCCCACAATACATAAGTATACTAAATTTGACTTAGAACAATCAGATAGCAAGCAATCATTTCTTTTAATTTTGCCTTTTTTTCTTTTTCATGTAGCCCACGGACTTTGTAATTAAAGCCATATGTAGCCTTAACAGAAAATCTGTTACAAGCAACATTCAGCAGTAAATTATGGATCAAATGAAATTAAGAAGATTACAACTAAATGTAAAAAATCTCTAGTAAAATCTCTTGATATATAATTCAGGGCCATCAATCTAATTTGAAGGAAGTGGGTTGATACCCTCAGCAACAGGAATTTAAGTAAATGGGAGAATTTTTATTTTTTCATTTTCTTTTCGGTCAAATAATAACAAACTATCACTTAAATATCAGTGGTTTTCTTTTTATAGGAAAGTCTCCCTGTTCATTCATACAAATATCAAACCATGTGAAATGGAAAACAGTGCAGAAATACAATATTTCGCTAACAGATCAATTTTACTTGTCAGAAACAGCATAACTTTTCAATATTTTTTCTGTTGGATTTTATGTCTTGAGGGGGAAATTTTACCTCTGAAAGGGAAAAAAAAAACTACTTTGGTGGGGGACTGTGGCCAATATTTGGTAGATTGAGGGCCCTGTTTATGTACCTGAAATTATTGCAATGCTACTTACAGTTTGGTCCTGTATCTGAATCTGACATGCATAGCAGTATCTGAAATAAATTATAAGAACATATATTACACTAAATTAACTTATATGCATAAAGTTATCACTTTGAATGCTTGTGTCAATGATAAAAGACCTATGCCTGCAGTAACAAGTAAATCCAACCTGCACATCTTTGCTGCCTGACTGGACTTCTTAATAAATTGGCTGCAAAAATTTAGAATTTTAATATTAAAATCCTTCACACTAGCATTGTACAGTTCAAATTTCAAGTTAAATATCATAAGTGGTTACAGAGTTAGGAAGTTACAAGCAAATTGATTGTTTTTTTTTAGTCCATTTCAACACATTTTTGTTCATATCTCGGTACACTTACTATTGAGCAAGTAACACGTAAAACCATAACCCAAGTGTTGTGCTAAATGCAGCTAAGCAGAAACCACCACTATTGTTTAAATGAGCCGCGCCATGACAAAACCAACATAATGCATTTGCGACCAGCATGGATCCAGACCATCCTGCGCATCCGTGCTGTCTGATCAGGATCCATGCTGTACGCTATCAGTTTCTCTACTTGTAATACGGTTTGTAAGCAAACAGCATGGATCCTGATCAGACTGCGCGTTTGCACAGGCTGGCCTGGATCCATGCTGGTCGCAAACGCATTATGTTGGTTTTGTCATGGCGTGACTCAAATAGTCAAGCTAAAAAGACTAAAAACTAATTGCTTACATGTTTTGCCCAGGATCAAAATCTGTGACTGGAATTTCTAATGACTGGTCAAGTGGAAAGAGATGATGGTAGGATCTTGCTAGATGAGGTGCTGACACAAGTGTAAGACCTGTAATATAAATGTATACAATGAATTATGTTAACAATTTATACAAAATTCATCGAACATATACATGTATTGAGCTTTGAAGCTGCATGCCTCCAAATAACCCAAAATATTTCAAGAAAATTAAAATTGAGAAAAGTGTACTTAGATTTCAAGAAAAGTAAAAATATTCAAGATTCAATTAATAATTTACATATTTTGTGAGATGACTGGTTTTGCAGTATTTATTACCATATGACTGGTTTTGCAGTATTTAATACAATATTTATACTGCATGACTATTGCAGTTATGGTATTTTTGCATATTTTTATTTCTTTCTTTGGTAATTTACATTAACGGTAAGTGCCGTTTGCAATATGTAAATTACTTTCTTCACTTTCCAATAAATTTTCAAAATTTTTATGAAAATTAGCACCAAATTTTTTTATTTTTCTGTTTTTTTTTACAACAACAGACAAAATTCTTTGTTTCTTGGCATCAGTTTTAAATAAATATTTTCTGTTTGAAATATATAAACAACATATACGTACCACACGCCTTACATTCTACTGGTAGTTCACAATATTTACTCTTACACTGAGGGCAGAAATATCCAGTGGTACTGAACCCCTCAACAGATTTACTGTCTAAATGACTGAAATATATACATAATATATTCATAAAAAAATAACCAGTCAACACTTAAATAATGTTTGTATAAATTATCTCTTGCTAGTTAAAACACTTGCAATCAAAGTCATTTCTGGACCTGTATGTGCTTGTGTTTGTTTGGTTTATTTATCCTTGCCACTGGAATGAACCATATGGACAAGCATAAACTTCATTTAAAACTGACTTTTTTATAAGGGAGATAACTGTCTGTTTTTCTACAGTTATATCTGTACATGTGTCCTATGTGCATGCCATAATTCCCGTCAAAAGATCATCTTTAGGTATGTATAATGGGACAAGAATAAGATGGGATGACTCCCATACAACATGTACAAAGTTAATCAGAAACTTCGCAAAATATAATTGGCTGAGATGTTTGTAGAACTAAAATAAATTCTGCATGAATTATAATGGAAGAAACTTACCACATGCACATGGAGGGTTTATCGCCAGACCTCTCTCCACCGAGGTGATGATGTGGAAACCCCATCCTGATTAGTGATGACTCCGTGTTCATCTACAAAATATAATATAATCTTCATTATATTGCAACACTATTCTTACATACACACCATCGATAAGCTAGTACTGAACATGTACTGTTAAACAATACAGAGTGACTGACTATTCTCATTTTTATGCTTATTATTTCATTGTCAAATTGAGCTGCATTGACTATATATTAATTTTAAAAAGATTGACTGCTATAATGGTGATTGAGCAACAGGTCATATTGGAAAATGTTTCGGATATTATATAAGTATAAAAGTGCCTTAATATAAAAAGACTCCCCCACTCTTTTAATGAATTGAATGTTACAGGTAAATTGAAATCTACAGAAATTTTCTATTAGCCATGTGTGTAACTTACTGCAGGCAAAATAAATTATAAAATTGAAAGGAATCATGGAAAAATGTTTACCTATTTTGGCTTTTACCTGTTCACACAATATATACTCTTGGTTGGACATAATGTCACTTTAATAAAGGAATAAGCGCAAACCTTTATAATAATAACATAATGTCATACAAGTTTTTACATAAATATTTTGGGATACTGGCCAAAATGTTTATATGTTTGGTTCATTGAAATGTGTGTAGATATTCTTGTTAATTTCATTATTACCTTCTAGTATAATGTAATTTAAATCATACTTGAAGCATATATAAACTATAATATGTACTAACCATTGCAGGTGGTGGACTGGTATGCTGGTTAAGTAAATCTTTGAAATGACTTTCATCTAGAATAACAGTGTATTTACCTACATATAAACAAAACAAATATAATGTAACAGTTATATATACTAAGAAGTGGTAAAAGTTCACTTAGAATAATGAAAATAATTGTGAATCCTTAAACACTTAGGAAGGAATAGTCAAACTAAGGGATATATTTCAATGAAATACCATGCTAGAGTATTAGGTCTTTGACAATGACCTACAATAATTATCTTAAGACATGTAAAGTTTCCAATAGTAAATGAGAACAGAAATGAATTCCAACTGCACTTAAGACTATAGAATATTAAACATATAAAGATCAATCCACTAAACAAATTTCCTACCATTTGTGTCTGTACAAAGCTTTTTACAGATTCTAACCTCTGCTGCCAGACCTATCATGGAACATCTCACATTTGTCTCCTTTAACAACTGTAAATATATGTAAATATAACTAAATATAATAAACATTTCACATTTTAATGTATCATTTTGTAAACTTAAATTCATTTTCACAACTAAAAATACAAAAAAAAACCCTTAACATGAACATTAAAAAAGTTATGATTTTATGACAAAATAATAAATCAATTCAGTAAACAAAGCAAGAAAGCTTCCTTTATAATGCCGAATTTAACAATAACATTTCACAAAGAGCTTTTAACTCTTTTTTTACTTTTATTCAAAATACCTGTAACACCAAATTTTTAACATTTCAGTGCCTATAAAGTGGTGGGTGTAACATTTTTATCACTCAATATGCTTAAATGGTATTGACGCTAGACAGTACCATTAATTTGATTTAAACCAGGCACCAAACAGTTTATGAAAAAAAGCATGAAAATCTACTTAACTAACCCGTAATGTTTCTAGGATATCTCCAGGATCACATGTTGTTAAACTAGCAAATAGTACCAAAACTTCTCTACTGGCATGGCTCGGCATATGTCTGCAAACAAAACATAGGTGCATTTTTTAAACCCTGAACCTACTAGTAACAAAAGTGAGTGGCCATCGCTACCAGTATAGAACCAGGCTAGCCTGCACATCCATGTAGTCTGACCAGAAAATTTTTAGTTGGTAGCTCAATTTCTGTATTTGGATATTGAAATCCTTTAAAATTCAAATGGCTTATTCAAAATTTAAGGCATGGCAAAACATGATTGTAGCTGCATGCCTCCAGATGAGTCAAAATATTTCATGAAAATCAAATATAAGAAAAATGTACTAAAATTTTAGGAAAGTAATCATAAATACAAGTTTTGTGCAGTATTTATCACCATATTTCTACTGAAGGACAAAATACACATGTAAAATCAATGTATATATCTAGCTACAATAAAAAGCTTAAAATAATTATCATCCCTTTTTTTCCTTACATGTTATGATAATCATATCAAATCATATATTATGCCACAGTTATGCATAAGGAAATCAGAGGAGATGTAGAGTTTGCCTCTCACCCCCAGGGATCATAGATGCAAGCCCTATTGGGGCTACAACCATGTTTCCTAATATGTCACCAATACTTGCTGCTAGAGAATGGGCACAATTAAGCTTGTAGTTTTCAACATAATCAAGCCAAGATAAATATGATTAAACTAAACCAGACAACAAACCTGAGAGTCTGTATGGCCAACTCTAGGGAATTCTGTAGCGAAGGTTCACCCTGACACACCCTCTCTTTCAATTTCTGTATAGCTGCTATATGTCGTCTGGGATTACCTTAAACACACACAATCCACATAAGAAAACAGCTCTACATTACAATATAGGCACAAATTTGTTAAAAAGAGAATCTCTGATTTTAAAGACCATAATCTTATTTCAATGAGTCTTGTCCGAGAGAGGGTTAATTTCTTGTGAAATCTTTTTTCCTGGGAAGAATTTACACTGTTTCTGTTAAGGAGATAATTATAAACAGTAGGCCACTTTACAGAGATTGCACTGTACAATGTTTTTCCATGAGCATCTGAGGCAGTCACCCAGAAAGCTAGTTTGTAACAATTATCCTATGTAAATATAAAGATATTTTCCGAATAATTTACAGTACAACCTGGGCAGATCAACACACTTTAAGAGACAAAGGATTTCAGTTGTTTGAGGTATTCCCTTAGTGAGGGTTAATTTCTTGTGAAGCACATGTATTTTTTTTCTGGGAAGAATTTACACTGTTTATGTTAAGCACCTTATGAACTTTACCTCCAAGTTCTGTCACCTTTTCAGCTCTTTTATTCTTTGTAACTATAATACCCAGTTGACTGATTGGATTCTGATCAAAATATTCTTCTATAAAACGTTCTAGTAACTGTAATAGAGCAAGCAAATAGAAAACGTTTTATGAAATTAATGTTTTAAATTAATAAAAAAAAAGAGAGAAAATTTTCAATGTTTATTTAATTAACCATTTAAATATCTATTTTGTTTCATATTGGAGTGCTAAATTTAATCATGTTCAGATAGACGCTGTTCATCAATTTGGGATTAAAGGCCCATTATGCCTTATTTTTATTTCTCAAATACTCTATTTTTGGTATCTTGTAACAGTTTTGGTATGTAGATGAACTATATTATACTTTTATTGCTCTGTTGGCAATGGGTATAATCTTAGTGAATCAAAAATCAATTAATGAAACATTTTTTAAACACATGTTTGAAATTTCTAAGGAATTTAAAAATATTGATTTCCGAGGCATAATGTGTCTTTAAAAGCAGTGTACTTACAAAAAATGATCTCAGTAATTTTAAAATTACAGAAAATAAACATATACAGAGCCTTTGTTTCATACTAATTTTTTTACATAATTATATTTCTTACAAATATCAAATTTCTTGTCATGAGACACTGTTGCATGTATGTTACTTTAAGTTATTTTGGATAGAATGCTGATAAATTCGAATAAAATATATCACAAGGGAGGTAACTCTACCAACCTTTAAAGAAGCTATAAGTCTTGTAGGTTTAAGGTCCTGGTCATCCATAGAAACAGACATATCAATAATGATAAACATATGTCTCATCTGAAAATAACGAAGTTTATACGAAAATAAGACAATAGGTTTGTACAGTATAAATTATAGAAAAATGAAAATAATGGCATTAAATCTACATCATTTTTATTCATTTTTTTGTTGCCATTGGGTTTTTAGTCATTCCAGCAATGTAAATCTCATAGGGTCACTTCCCTAGCTTTCGAGGTGTATCAATAACCCTGGTCTTTGTTGGGATTAGAAAAGCCAGCGATGAGAGGCAAAAAGTTTGAATTCAACAACTTAAACAACTCGGCCACAAAGTGTTATGATAGGAACTCAATGTAGCTGTCAAATCTCTATATTCAAATAATTATATTACAGGGTTAAATGTTGTTTTAAAACAGTTTTAGAATGAGGAATATTATGCAGTTAAAATAAATTATATGTATTTAAAAATAAATTCTGCTCTTGCAATTAACTTATATAAATTTACTCTTTATTTCAAAAAAGAATGAGATAATTCTTTGTGACAGGTATGCACAGACTAAGTACAATCTTTATAACTCTATGAATTTTTTTTTTGACTACGCATCAACATCCTTCATAGCTCAAACTTTCTATCACAACTCAGAGGTTACTCATTATTGCAAATATTTCATGCAGTCTTACCATGCCAAGCCTAACATTTGAGATTTTTTCCAGTAATTTTCTTCTCTTAGCTTTATGCAGCATGCTGTCAATGCTAGGTTGTAACGAACCTTCTGCATCCTCCTGCAACGCTTCCCTGTATTCACATATAAGTGTATACATGTAGCAATGCAATAACACACAACTGAAAGGAACTGTTTTATTCATGACTAACTACCAACCTGATCAGACCTACAGTTTTAGTTGTATAGCTGCAAATTTACATATATGGTTGAGGCATTGTTGGAAATATATGGAATTACATATATTAACATAAACATTTTTCTAATCAAATATTTTAACACATGTATGATGTATGATATAAAATAGGCTGATATGTATAAAGATAAGTAACTGATTAAGTTCACATTTTATCTAAATTGGAAATGTCATTAGAATGGGGCAAATCTTTATTTTACCTTTACACTTAATACTTAAATCATGTACAAAAACTGTGCATGAAGCCAGGGGAGAAAAAAAATGGGCAACACAATTTAATTTGAATTGATCTCCTTTAGACAGGGCAGTCAAGGATAACCTACGAAATTGCATGCACTTATTTACAGTACAGTCTTTGTCTCAGGAGACTCCAGAGACAAATATGAGAGACAAGGGAATCCAGGAACCAGTCCCTACATGTAGCTCTTTTTTAACAGTGTTTTAAATTATAGACCCCATGGTTCTTTTACATGCCCGGTGTATAGTACTGATGATTCCGAGGATTACCTGGGTTTCTTTCCAGTATACCTCTAGGTAGGTTAGATACGCTGAAATTATTTCAGAAAAATCCCAAGGGTGTGTTTCCCAGGATCTAGTTCTACTAGTTCTACATCATACTGCTTTAAAATCGTTTACGATCACTCTAGGAGCGACAGTCAGTGGTCTAACAACTGAGCTATCACGCCACCATAAATAAATGACTTACTTCAGTATGACATAATACGGGGAAGTAAAAGTCTGGGCCCACTTTGCGGGCCCGGGCTTTGGCTTGCCCGGCTATAGACTACACGTGTATATTTAAAAGAAAATTCAAATAAAAAACAATTACAAAATATATAGAATTCTATACCTATCAATGAAATTTTCAGTGTCAGTTCTAGTTAGGCGCCGCCATTTACAATGTAACTCAATGATAAAAGGCGGTGTATTCCGATAACGGAACAAATCTCAACTTTTCGGATTAATAATAATCGTCGAGTGTTCCGAGTGAAAGCAGAAGTGGGTACATATAATACCGAATGACACCTTTAAAACGGAAAAATTAAAGGATTTTTTTACCGACTTCCCCGTTCATAGGCTTTGCCTAATTTCATATTAACATCATAATATCAGCAAAACTGTCAAATTGGTTGAATTAATTCAAACATTCATCATAAATATGATGCAAAATTAAAATGAATGTAGGTAGCAAAAAAAAAAAAAATGAAACAAATCAAAAACTTTAAATAACCGTTTTGATTATAGACAATTACAAGCTGATATGAAATATGCAAGTACCATGTTTTTTCATATTCTGTTTCCCAACGATAGCCCTTGTCATCATCTTCTGTCATTGTAATGTTGTTGTTTAATTACTGGAAAAAAAATCAGTTTCGTTGTGTGAATTTTGATATTCTAGAGTCACCTCCCTTGTGAGTAACACTAAATTCTGTGCAGTACGTACTGGGTTGTACTATTCGCCGGTCTCGGTCTCCGGTTTCTGGATATGACACGGTGTTGCATGAGCAAATCTAATCAGATTAAAGCAACATTATCTGTTTTCGAAAAGTATATGCATGTCACAATTAAAAATAACTTAAATATATAAATCCGTGGGTTGAGTGAGCTTTACTGTATCCCCTGCGGCTATCACCGTGGGTTAACTTGAGAAAGAATCATTAGATAGGCTTATCACCGTAGGTTATGTGAACAATATTCCCTGAGATAAGAACCATTAGATTGCCCTTTCACTGTGAGTTGTGTGATCTCTACTGTATTCCATGAGGCTGTTACCTTGGGTTTACTGGAGATAAGAACCGTTTTTATAGGCCTGTCACTGTGGGTTGTATGAGCTTATTGTATTCCCTAAGGCTAATTCCGTGATTAACTAGAGATGATAACCATTAGATTGATATATCACCGTGGTCTGTATGAGCTTTACTGTAATCCCTGAGGCTATCACCTTGGATAAATTAGAGATAAGAACAAATAGACTGGCCTTACACTGCGAGTTGTGTCAGCTTTACTGTATTCCCTGAGGCTATCGCCGTGGGCAAACTTAGAATAAGCCTATCATAGTGGTTTGTTTCGACTGTACTGTATTCCCTAAGGCTTAGGGTTATGATAGGGTTTTCTAGAGCCAAACGTTTCAACACCATTTAACTGAGTCCGTTGTAGATTCGTTTTTCTACAAGTTTGGAGGGCCTTCTTTGCACAATATAAAGCCCAAAGCCTAACCTAAGCAATTTGACCAGGATTTTTCATTGTGGCATGGTCATTCTTAAAACCGGCGTTTGGTCCTTTCTTTATATAATTTAAAGTGTATACATTTTCGTAAAAGACACATACTATACCGTTATAAAACACAATTTGACAGAATCTGTCTGTTCCTCCACATTACACAGACTCACTTGTAAGTCACCTAGATGGGCATAAACAACAACAACAAATAATGTTTTACAAGTTTATTATAATTATCATAGTTCACTTCGCAACTTGGCATCTTTTATGACAAATACAACATTTGGCATCTCTTAATGCCTTATACACAAACAATATAGCATTTACAATGTAGTACTACTACTGATGCACCAAATAATCGCTCTTAAACTAAAATTTAACAAACAAAATACAAACAATGAAGTACTATTGATGCACCAAAAAATCGCTCTTAAACTAAAATTTAACAAACAAATTGTATAATAAATAAATCAAGAATAATATTCCATTTCCACAATATTCAATCAGTATTTTTGTTTAAAGACAACATAAATGTTTTACAATTAATCATATAAATTCATCACTATTTCAATTGTTCTCACACCTTATATGAACAACAGTTCCTTTAAGATTGTCATACATGTTATATGGCAATACAATGTTAATACACGACTATATAACCCATCCAAAGTTTTTATATAATAATACATATTGCTGTTTTTTATTTCAAAAGAAACTATTAAATAAATTTTCAGCATTTCTGTACATAGATAACATAATAAAAAGGAGACTGTGAAGTAAAATAAAATTCATTAAGACAAAAAAATGTGTATTTAATTAATTCAACAATAATTCATTATCAGGTATTTGTGTATTTAAAACAAATTCATTTTCGGACATTCAAAGCATAGGTTACTATTTTATACTTAGTCTAAATGTCCAAAAATATGAATTACTCATCTGGGTATAAAGTGAAAAGGAACTGTAGGGTTGCAATCCTATCTAAATAATAATAATCATACTTTCCAGACAATATATGATATGGTAGAATAAGTATGATCACTTCTACTAATGAAGCCACTTTTTTAATCAATTATTTGCCTTCATGACTTTAAACACAATATCCAATAGTTATAAGTTATTAGAGATTAAAGACAAAAAATGTAAAGCATAAATAATAAATAAATTCTTGAAGTCAGAAAATATAAATTTCATTGCAGGTAAAAACAGAATAAATTTGACATTTAATTGCATGTGAAAAGAAACGAACTAAATCTCAACAGAAAAATAGAGATTTCATTTGTTAGTCAATGCATGTAATTAATAAAATGTATATAACAAACATAATATTATTATTGGTGCTAAATTCATTCATATTCAATAAAATATATTAATATTATGTCTCAGATTCATTCTTTTTAAGACTGTTGCAGAAAATTCAACAAAATTTAACACATATTTAAAACATTCATTTGATATCCATGTATATGTTGGGATTCACAATTAGAAAAATATCACATAAACATAATTCATTGATTTTATCATCTAAATATTTTCAGATAAACAATTCATCAGTGATTAAAACCATATATTCTTTTATGGATAGGATACAAGATGTGTTTCTCTGGACATTTAAAGCATAGAATTACACTCAAACCAAAAACTACACTTACTTTTAAAGTTTCAATATGAAAAAAAAAATATAAAAAAAATTCTATGCTTATCTGTTTACAGCCTTACAAAACAACATTCAGTAACATTCTAAAATCATGAATGTCTTTGAAAAAAAAATTCTTACAGTCCTGACCACTTAGGACAAATAACACTTAAAATATTTTCCAAATGTTATGAAAATAAGTTGAGTGAGCATGTAATCAAAAGCAGTGTCTGGTGAACAACAAGTAATAGCATTTTGTTTTTAGTAATGAAAACTTAACGATTAATGTAGCAAATTTTCCACTTCCATGACAATTTAATCTTGCAGAAAGACACAACAGTGAAAATTAGAAACGTACAACATTGTGTTATATCTAAGTAAACTTCTGTAACTGGTGATTACTTCAAACAAAAATATGACTCCACCTTCCATACAATGAAAGACATTCAGAAAGAAATTCAGACATCAAAACTTTCATAATTATTTCCCTAACTCCCTTTCATAGCTGTATAGCTAAAGAATTCTTAACCTTCGCCCTCCTAAATTATTGAAATGGACTTAATCTACTTTAAAACTGGAGCTAACCTTTGTAATTTTGAGGGATTTCAATATTGAAATATGAATTTGTCATTACTTGACCTTGGCATTTTTCCACTGTCATGCTTTTTAAAAGACTCTGATACTCAAATGCCAAAAAAAACAACATCAGTATTATGGCATCCCGTTCGTCTACATAAAATTGTAGACAGTCCTGACTACAAGTACAGTCACTGTCACACATTATGTTCAGAGTGTTCTAAAAAAATGATAACAATTACTAAATACAAAATGTTCAGAATCTAAATGGTTGACGGAAATTTCATCTCTTTTGTGATTAATACTAGTAACACACGGCTTGGAACTGATGCTGGTTAATATCAAGATAGTTCACGGTCTCACAGGTGAAATATTTCAAATATACACCTGAAATAACGTTCCCAGGTCAGTCAGTTTTGGTCTATGATCATTGTAGAACATCTTGTTACTTTTCTCTGTTCAAAGCTTCAATAAATTCTTCTAGCTTTTCTTGTATTTGTCTTACTTTCTCTGAAAAAGAAAACAGAAATATAAAGGCATATATCCAGTACTATGTTAAGCTAATTTACACTGTCACATTAACCTGAAATGATACATACCATAACAAGAGCTGTCACAGGAGACAGCGAAGCTCGACTGATAAAATACTGGATGCAGTAAGGAAGACAAAACTTGAAAAACAAGCAACTATCATAGTATTGCAAGCAATCCATAAGTCCCCTACCGGTTAGAACCCCAGCAACATTTTGATGGGTCATTGGCCATTCAATTTTACCAATGGATAAATGACATGAATGAACTTAAATCTTTTGAGTTCTAAGTTTGTCTATATCACAGTAATGTGTTAAGTTTCCCTACCTAGTAAGGAAATTATGTTTAGACAACCTTGTCATAATATTACGATGTGGGATTTTAAAGTAAATCCTATAAGATGAAGAAGTTGGAGTGAAAAATACCAATTTCTCGAAAAAAATCTAAGTTCAAGGGGGGATAATTCTGGAAATAGTCTTGCTAGAGTATTTAACCTTCTCAAAAATGTTGAGTGATAATAAGAAACATATATATGAAGTTTGAAGTAGATACATTAGGAAAGTTATTTAAAAAAGAAAACATTTTTTTCCATAAAAATTCTAAGTTCAAGGAAGGTAATAGTGATAATTTTTGTGCTAGAGTTGTAAACCTTGTCACATATGATGTGGTTGATGGCCAGAAACTTATATTTAAAGTTTGAAGCAAACATCTTAAGAAATAAAGAACTTATAGTGAACAAGAGCTGTCGGTAGGACAGCAACGCTCGACTATTCTTAGGTCTTGATAGTAAAAAAAATGCTTGATAGAGTTACCTCCTCCTGTTTACAGGTTGGGGTCATGATGGTGAACAAGTGTGCAAAGTTTCAAAGCCATATGTCAATGGACTTTGAAAATATTTGAACTATTACAAAAACTTTAACGTAAATTCTAAGTCGAAAAAGGGGCATAATTCTGTCAAAATGCTTAATAGAGTTACCTCCTCCTGTTTACAGGTTGGGGTCATGATGGTGAACAAGTGTGCAAAGTTTCAAAGCCATATGTCAATGGACTTTGAAAATATATGAACTATTACAAAAACTTTAACGTAAATTCTAAGTCGAAAAAGGGGCATAATTCTGTCAAAATGCTTAATAGAGTTACCTCCACCTGTTTCCAGGTTGGAGTCATGATGGTGAACAAGTGTGCAAAGTTTCAAAGCCATATGTCAATGGACTTTGAAAATATATGAACTATTACAAAAACTTTAACGTAAATTCTAAGTCGAAAAAGGGGCATAATTCTGTCAAAATGCTTGATAGAGTTACCTCCACCTGTTTCCAGGTTGGGGTCATGATGGTGAACAAGTGTGCAAAGTTTCAAAGCCATATGTCAATGGACTTTGAAAATATTTGAACTATTACAAAAACTTTAACGTAAATTTTAAGTCGAAAAAGGGGCATAATTCTGTCAAAATGCTTGATAGAGTTACCTCCTCCTGATTACAGGTTGGGGTCATGATGTTGAACAAGTGTGCAAAGTTTCAAAGCCATATGTCAATGGACTTTGAAAATATTTGAACTATTACAAAAACTTTAACGTAAATTCTAAGTCGAACAAGAGCTGTCGGTAGGACAGCAACGCTCGACTATTCAAGTGCTTGATAGTAAAAAATAATGCTTGATAGAGTTACCTACTCCTGTTTACAGGTTGGTGACATGACGGTGAACAAGTATGCAAAGTTTCAAAGCCATATGTCAATGGACTTTGAAAATATTTGAGGTATTACAAAAAACTTTAACGTAAATTCTAAGTCGAAAAAGGGGCATAATTCTGTGAAAATGCTTGATACAGTTACCTCCTCCAGTCTACAGGTTGGTGTCATGATGGTGAACAAGTGTGCAAAGTTTCAAAGCCATATGTCAATGGACTTTGAAAATATTTGAACTATTACAAAATTTTTAACGTAAATTCTAAGTCGAAAAAGGGGCATAATTCTGTCAAAATGCTTGATACAGTTACTTCCTCCTGTCTACAGGTGGGGGTCATGATGGTGAACAAGTGTGCAAAGTTTCAAAGCCATATGTCAATGGACTTTGAAAATATTTGAACTATTACAAAAACTTTAACGTAAATTCTAAGTCGAAAAAGGAGCATAATTCTGTCAAAATGCTTAATACAGTTACCTCCTCCTGTCTACTGGTGGGGGTCATGATGGTGAACAAGTGTGCAAAGTTTCAAAGCCATATGTCAATGGACTTTGAAAATATTAGAGGTATTACAAAAACTTTAACATAAATTCTAAGTTGAAAAAGGGGCATAATTCTGTCAAAATGCTTGATAGAGTTACCTCCTCCTGTGTACAGGTTGGGGTCATGATGGTGAACAAGTGTGCAAAGTTTCAAAGCCATATGTCAATGGACTTTGAAAATATTTGAACTATTACAAAAACTTTAACATAAATTCTAAGTCGAAAAAGGGGCATAATTCTGTCAAAATGCTTGATAGAGTTACCTCCTCCTGTCTACAGGTTGGGGTCATGATGGTGAACAAGTGTGCAAAGTTTCAAAGCCATATGTCAATGGACTTTGAAAATATTTGAACTATTACAAAAACTTTAACATAAGTGGTTACGCCGACGCCGACGCTCGGGTGACTACAATAGCTCTACTTATTCTTATCGAATAGTCGAGCTAAAAAGGGGCATAATTCTGTCAAAATGCTTGATAGAGTTACCTCCTCCTGTTTACAGGTTGGGGTCATGATGTTGAACAAGTGTGCAAAGTTTCAAAGCCATATGTCAATGGACTTTGAAAATATTTGAACTATTACAAAAACTTTAACGTAAATTCTAAGTCGAAAAAGGGGCATAATTCTGTCAAAATGCTTGATAGAGTTACCTCCTCCTGTCTACAGGTTGGGGTCATGATGGTGAACAAGTGTGCAAAGTTTCAAAGCCATATGTCTATGGACTTTGAAAATATTTGAACTATTACAAAAACTTTAACATAAGTGGTTACGCCGACGCCGACGCTCGGGTGACTGCAATAGCTCTACTTATTCTTATCGAATAGTCGAGCTAAAAAGCTGAAAAATTTAAATCAGAAATCTTGAAATTCAGGCTATTTGTTGCCATAGCAACCAGAATTTTCAACATAGGAAGAAAAGAAAAAGATGTGCATAATCTCCAGACTACCATTTACCCATATTTCAAGTTTCATAAAAATATTTTCAGTACTTTTTGAGTTATCACTGGATCCAGTTTATGTGTTAAATTTGCCATATTTTCAGACTATTTGTTGCCATAGCAACCAGAATTTTCAACACAGGAAGAAAACAAAAAGACGTGCATAATGTCCATACTGCCATCTATCCATATATCAAGTTTCATAAAAATATTTTCAGTACTTTGTGCGTTATCGCGGGATCAAGTTTTGTGGACGGACAGACTGATGGACTGACAGACAGACAGACAGACAGACCGACGGACGGAGGGTAAACCTAAAGTCCCCTCCGGTTCGACCGGTAGGGGACTAAAAAAAATCAATTATGTATAATTATGTACTTAGTAATGGTAAAAAAATTACATTGTTAACATAAATTCCTAGATCAAGGGGAATAATTCTAAAAATAGTCATGCTAGAGTTATGAACCTTGTCATATAAAATGTGTGTAATGATAAGAAATATATATTTTAAGTTTGAGGTAGATACCTTAAAAAGTAAAGAAGTTATAATATTTCTTAAAGAAAATCCTAAGTTCAAAGAGTCTCAGATAAATCTGTAAATATTGCTTCAAGAGTTATGAACATTGTCGCATGAAACGTAATTGATGATAAGGAATAAGTATTTGAAGTTTGAGGTAGATACCTTTAAAACTAAAAAAGTTACAGTAAAAAAATTAATTTTCTAGTAAAAAAAATCTAAGTTCAAGGGGAGATAAATCTGAACCTTGTCACATAAGATGGGGATGATGATAAGGTACATATATTTGAAGTATGAAGTTGATCCCTTAAGAAATAAAGATGTAACAGTAAAAAATAGTATTTTTTAAGGAAAATTCTAAGTTCAATGGGAGATAAATCTGAAAATATTTGTTCTAGAGTTATGAACCTTGGCACATAAGATGTGGTTGATGATAAGGAACATATATTTGAAGTTTGAAGTTGATACCTTAAGAAATGACGAAGTTACAGTCAAAAATATTTACTGCACCAAAACTTTACCCTGAAATCTGGACGCAGACGCTGGGGCGAATAGGACAGCTTTCGGAGTCTCCATATACTTCGTATAGTTGAGCTAAAAACCGATTATATTTTGGATGTGTTTCAAGTCAAAGAAACACTGTTAAAGCAGCATGCCTCTAGATTCTTGCTAATTTTCATAAATTTTTTGAAAATGTATTTACAAGGAAAATACTGTGAAGTGAGCAAAGAAAAGTAATTTACACATTGCAAATGGCAGTTTAAATCCATTAAATTACCAAAAAGGAGGTCAAAATAAGCTAAAGTAGCCTATACTGCTTTTGTAATGAAGTAGAAATTTGGTGACGAATACTGCAAGATCAGTCATTAATCGCACATAACATGTAAATTATTACTTATATATTGAATCTTTTTTACTTTTCTTAAAATCTTAGTACATATTTCTCAGTTTTCATTTTCTTGAAATATTTTAACTCACCTGGAGGCATGCCGCTTTATGGTTATTAGACTATTTTCCCAGCTTTCAAAAGAGGTGAGTAGCAAACAATCACCTATTAAACAAACTATGGAACAAAAACATTCTATTAAATACCTCAGTATGAAGGAAATATTTATGTAAAGTAATAAAACTTACTTAGTTCCTCTGCTAAGTCGACAGTTCTTCCAGTTAATAATTTTTTCAATCTGTCAGTGTCTTCAGAGAAATCATCTAATACATCTTTTATGATTCTTTCTAATCTTCTTGCTGTAATTTATATAGATATGCATTGTTAGTGCAGTAAAGGAATAAGTTCTTCTAGATTTAATAGGAGTTAATCAGTTATTGCACTTAAGTTGACGAGATATGCATAGTGTCTTTGATTAACATTTTATATACTTGGTGCAGTAAGGACTTGCTTATGCAACCAGAGTTTTCAGGTCAATCTGAACCTCTGCCAGGTCAACAATATTTCAGTCATTACTCACAAATTTAATGCAGGATTATGGATTCTCTACTCATTTCATTCATGCAAGTTTTAGCATACTCCTTCAAATAAATCATTTAAAAGAGCGATAGACCGCAAAAAATATTAAACATATTTTGTATACAGGAAAATACAAGTGTCTTACTCACAAATTCAAGGCCTGCAGACCTCATCTCTTCTTATAAAGCTATGAAGACTGGTCAATTTCTTGAAATATATTCAATTTAATAGAATAGTATCATGTGTACTTACCTTCATTATTCACAACTTGTTGTCGTAGGGCATTACTTGTCATTTCTAACATTCTATGAATCCTCCAGAATAAAACCACCTCATGACAATCCATCTATAATATATACCATATATACCATAAATATCCCATACCATTGTCATCATAATATCAGAGGGTAGACAACATTCAAAATACATAGCTTTCTTAACCCTTTCACTGCCATAGGGACGGCATATGCCGTCCCTATAATTTTCGGCTTATTTGCCATATGGACGGCTTTTGCCGTTTTTATAATAATAATAATAATAATAAAAATTATAATAACAAGATTGCATTTGAAGAAATGCTATGCCACCGCATTAATACCTAAGCTCTAGGCCTTTTGGGCATTTACAAGAAGGTATTTTAAGTTTTTGAAGCCTTGTACCTTGTACCTACAGACAATAAGATTTTTTTATTTTTTACTATATGTATATATTGAAAATCAATGACCCCCGGGGCGGGGGCAATTTTGACCCCAGGGCTATAATTTGAACAATCTTGCTAGAGGTTCACTACACAATGTTTCATGCAAAATATCTAACCTCTAGCATTTGTCAATTGCTAGAAGAAATTTTTTTAAAGTTTTTACTATATACATATAACGAAAACCAATGACCCCCGGGGCAGGGCCGATTTTGACCCCAGGGCTATAATTTGAACAATCTGGGTAGAGGTCTACAACACAATGCCTAATGCTCTAGGCCTTTTGGGTCTTTACAAGTAGGTATTTAAAGTTTTTACTATATGTACATATAGTGAAAATCAATGACCCCCGGGGCGGGCCGATTTTGACCCTAGGGCTATAATTTGAACAATCTTGGTAGAGGTCTACCAGGCAATGCCTTATGCAAAATATCTAAGCTCTAGGCTTTTTGGGTCTTTACAATAAGGTATTTTAAGTTTTTACTATATGTACATATAGTGAAAATCAATGACCCCGGGGCAGGGCCGATTTTGACCCCAGGGCTATAATTTGAACAATCTTGGTAGAGGTCTACCAGACAATGCCTTATGCAAAATATCTAAGCTCTAGGCCTTTTGGGTCTTTACAAGAAGATTTTTTAAATTTATTCTTATAATTCCTTTTGGTTGCCATGGCAACCAGATTTCTGCATGGAATGAAATTCTTTGAACAACTTTGGAAGCTCTTCACCCAAGGATCAATCCTGCCAAGTTTGGTTGAAATTGGACTATTGGTTTTTCACAAGAAGATTTTTTACGTTCACTATATAATCTATATAACAATGACCCGGGGCGGGGCCTATTTTGACCCCAGGGCTATAATTTGAACAATGTTGGTAGAGGTCTACCAGACAATGCCTTATGCAAAATATCTAAGCTCTAGGCTATTTGGGTCTTTACAATAAGGTATTTTTAAGTTTTTACTATATGTACATATAGTGAAAATCAATGACCCCGGGCGGGGCCGATTTTGACCCCAGGGCTATAATTTCAACAATCTTGGTAGAGGTCTACCAGACAATGCCTTATGCAAAATATCTAAGCTCTAGGCCTTTTGGGTCTTTACAAGAAGATTTTTTAAATTTGTTCTTATAATTCCTTTTGGTTGCCATGGCAACCAGATTTCTGCATGGAATGAAATTCTTTGAACAACTTTGGAAGCCCTTCACCCAAGGATCAATCCTGCCAAGTTTGGTTGAAATTGGACTACTGGTTTTTCACAAGAAGATTTTTTAAGTTCACTATATAATCTATATAACACACACACACACACACACACACACACACAAACAAACACACACACACACAGGTGAATCGCTATATGCCACCGCATCGCAGATGCTGCGGTGGCATAAATCGCTATTTGCCACCGCATCGCAGATGCTGCGGTGGCATAAAAATAGTTATAATAATAATCATTATAAATATATAGATAATTATACCGTGGACAATAATTATTATTATACTAGCAGATTTGGAAACATATATAATTATTATAATACTAATAACAAATAATAATAATAATTAATAATATAGTAATTTCTTAGAAAATCTTCTGGCAAATAGGTGATCAATAAATAAATAACCCTCTGGCAGCGAAAGGGTTAAGTAATACATTCACTAACGCTTTCAAAACTAAAGACACCAAAATAAATCACAGACAACCATACAAAGACCTTATAGTGAAACTGTGTTGGAGCACCACACTAAATACTGTATTCTGGTATATACCAGACAAGGCACTGAATTATTAAATGCTAAAATCTCGCCTTTTCTCCGAAAAACACTTTAAGACGTCTGATTCATCTCTTTACACCGATTTATATACAATCCTGAATGAAAAATGTCAGAATCTGCGAGAAAAGCGTTTTTTTTTTACTGTGTGATCATGACTTCTGCAAGTGCCAAGACGTACTGTTCCAACGCTGTAGAGAGTTAAATCCAAGACCTTTACAAATGGTCATGGCAATAACAAGCACAAATTCTAACTTTACATCAGACAGAGTAAATTTCAAGCTTTATAAAAAGGTAGGCCAAATGTATTTCATCTTTTATATAAGGTGATCAAAGAGCAATGCTGAGCTAAATAGCATTTTAACTATCTTAAACATATTAAAAATATTTACCTCTGAATTTGGGACATTATGCTGGTAGTAGTAGAAACCTTTTTTACAATCATTACACTGCTGAAGGGCTCTCTTTATAAACTTTTCTCTAAACACATGGTACCAGGTCTGTTTTATCTGTAAAACAACACCACTTAGATATATCACATGTCTGTTCCCTCACATGGTATTTTTCAAGCACTAATAGTAGAGAAAAATAATTTATCCCTGTTTTTTGTCAGGTATGGACAGAGATCTGTGTGTGTGTGTGTTTTTCTGTTTGTTGGGTTTTACGTTGCACCAACACTGTATAGATCATATGGCCGCTTATGTCGACTATCAAGCTTTTTAGAAAGGTATAGAAAGACCTCATATGCCCCTCTAAGCATTATTTCAGACACAAAAAGCAACTTAGTAGAACCGCCTTTGATCCGCAATCTATCTGGATAACTTTTTCTCCATAAAGGAATCCGTAGACAATGGCGTGGCTCGAACCTACAGCCGTGGCCCATGCGAAGCAAGTGATTGTAAATGTTTTTGTTTGTTTGTTTTGGGTTTTACGTCACATTGACACAGTATAGGTCATATTGCGACGTTCCAGCTTTACTGGTGGAGGAAGACCTCAGGTGCCCTTCCGTGCATTATTTCAGGCACGAACGGGCACCTGAGTAGAACCACCTACGTTCCGTAAGCTAGCTGGATAGCTTCCTCACATGGAAGAAGCCAAAGACCCTGTCGGGATTCGAACCCAAAGCGGTGAGGGGCAAGTGGTTTGAAGTCAACGACCTTAACCATTGGCCACTGACGCCCCTCATGATTGTAAATGTAATGGTGGGTATACTCACAGACAATACATATGCATACATTTTGTTGGTTAACATTGTAAAAATAAATATTTTACTTACAAATTCAGCATCTACTTCTATACCCTGTGACTGTAATGTTTGTTTTACTGTAGTTAGTTCATCTTGTGATAATGTTGGCCTATGTCTCTATAATACACATGTACAATCATACCGTTAAAATTACTGTTAAATACCCTAAAATTGCTATATCTCTATAAAATATATATGTGTAGCATACTATAACATAGCAAACTCCTATGTCTCTGTTATTAAAATCATGTTTCTTATAAATATACTAAACTATACAAAATTGAAAAGATGCCCTGTCTTATATTCACTTTGTATAATAATAATCTTTTCTTTCTAGTTTCCATTTCTTTTTTCACTAAAAATCTTGCAGATAAATTGGTTTAACTATAACAGCTATGATGCCTTTACTTTTGAACAGCTGACCATCTACAAATTGTATTAAAGATTTGCCTTTATTGCTAAAAATTAATAACACTTATGATGAGTTATATGCAAAGTTATTTACTAGGGAAAAAATCCCTCCGATTCTATCAAACATTTTGTATATAGAAATACTTACCCGTTGAGGTTTAAGTATTCTCTCTAACTCATTTTTTGCTGCTATTCTATGTTTATGTTCTGATGTTCTGTATGTCCAGTGTCTCCACTGCTCCCAGGATCCTGGCCCCGTGAGTTCACGCAACTTTCTCTCATCTGTACAGCAAACATTATAATTATGTTAGACATTGTCATGTTTCATCATAACACTTTGCAAAGCTTCATTTTAATAATTGACTAGACCTGCGTGAAACAGGCTTGCAGGAACAGTCTATTGCATGAAACAGGCTTGCAGGAACAGTTTATTGCATGAAACAGGCTTGCAGGAACAGTCTATTGCATGAAACAGGCTTGCAGGAACAGTCTATTGCATGAAACAGGCTTGCAGGAACAGTCTATTGCATGAAACAGGCTTGCAGGAACAGTCTATTGCATGAAACAGGCTTGCAGGAACAGTCTATTGCATGAAACAGGCTTGCAGGAACAGTCTATTGCATGAAACAGGCTTGAAGGAACAGTCTATTGTTATCTTTATGGATATCAATATTAACACAAGATATGTTAAAACAGAAACTTATAACACAACTGGTGCCCCTATGTGCATTATTTCAGGCAAACACGAGCACCTGAGTAGAACCACCATCATTTTATAAACAAGCTGGATAAGCTTTCCTTCATGAAAGAATGCTAAATTCCTGGCAGGATTCAAACCCACATTGGTGAGGGTTAGTGGCTTGAAGTCACCAACCTTAACCACCCGACCATGAACACCCTTTAACAGGGTTACAAAGCAATTTTTTACATTCTGAAAGATACCAGACTAACTTTTTTCTAGTTGTTCTTTGAGAGCCTCCTCCATGAAGTTAACAGATGCATCCCACTGTTGTTTATCCTGTACTGACCTGTCTTCTAGTGTGTTACGCTGCATCACTCTCTGCAATATAGTACAGGGTTTTACAATCAAAGTGTGTAGAAAATTGAAGGGCCAAACAACGTTTTTTTTTCAAACATTAAATTCTGTAAAATACTAGAAACTTATTCAAAACCTTCTCAGACAAGGTGAATTAAAGTAATTGGTTATATTCAATGATAATTTAGGCACCTTGAGAAGGACTTTTGCCTCACTCTTGCAATAAAGTTCTTATTATGGTGTAGACATAACAATTCCTGAAGTGGATTGGTCTAAAAATTTACACATATTCCATAAGTATTACACAATTTGATACAAACAGTTTTTTTATCATTTGTATATTCTTGTCAAATATTTCTTGAACTAGAAATGTGTCGTCATGCCACAGATGCCCCCACATGCAGCTAAAATTTCAGATGTTATAATATATAGTTCCAAATTTGTTTGCACAAATTATTTTTTTCATTTTAAGTTCAAAGCCCTTAAAACTATTCAATGTTAACTGAAACTATTCAGTGTTAACCAAAATAATGGCTGCATACATTTCCACAAAAGTATGAGTGCTGAAACTGAGAATACAAAATTTTTTCAACATTCAAGAAAGATAACTTTGTCTAAAATCATTGAAACATGACCAAATTCAAACTGCTTATTCCTAAGATGTATCTATATGTCAAATTTGAGTTGAATGTGTAATATCCTAGAGGAGATAATGAACAGAAATTAAAAATTTCATATTTATTTTCTAAGTGAAAGGGACATAACTCTGCCAAAAATTATCGAACCATGACCAAATTCGAACTTGACCTGCGCATTCCTTTGACGTATCCATATGTCAAATTTGAGTTGAATTTCTAATACTGTTGGGGAGACAATGAACAGTAACTGAAAATTTCATATTATTTTAAAAGTGAAAGGGGCATAACTCTGCCAAAAATCATTAAACCATGACCAAATTCGATCTTGACATGCGCATTCCTTTGATGTATCCATATGTCAAGTTTGAGTTGAATGTGTAATACCGTTGGGGAGATAATGAGCAAAACTGAAAATTTCATATTATTTTCAAAGTAAAAGGGGCATAACTCTGCCAAAAATCATTGAACCATGACCAAATTCAAACATAATCTGTATTTTCTCATAACATATCCATATGTCCAGTTGGAGTTGAATGTGTAATACCGTTGGGGAGACAATGAGCGGAAACTGAAATTTCATATTATTTTAATTATTTTATTTTCAAAGTAAAAGGGGCATAACTCTGCCAAAAGTCGTCGAACCATGACCAAATTCGAACTTGACCTGTATTTTCTCATGACATATCCATATGTCAAATTTGAGTCGAATGTGTGCAACCGTTACTAAGATAATGAACAGAAACTGATGATGACGGAATGACAGAATGACGGAACAGGGTAACACTATATCGAGGGATTGGTGCGAAAGGGTTTTAACTCATATAAGATAAAGAAGGAGTTACAACCCTTTCGCACAAAGCTGTTGATATGCTAAATGCATAACAAGAGCCACCGCCGGGCGGGGGCAACGCTCGACTTTTTACTTTTTCTAAACGCAAACATAGAAAGGTTTGAACATATCTTAACGTTTCCTTTTTATAAATTTAGTTGGTCTGTCTTGTCACATTAGTTTTGTTTATATATTTTGTATATATATATGAATAGAAACATTACGCAATTTCTAAAAATAGAAACAATGACGCAATTTCTAAAAATAGCAACACAATGACGCAATTTCTAAAAATAGAAACAATGACGCAATTTCTAAAAATAGCAACAATGACGCAATTTCTAAAAATAGCAACAATGACGCAATTTCTAAAAATAGAAACAATGACGCAATTTCTAAAAATAGCAACAATGACGCAATTTCTAAAAATAGAAACAATGACGCAATTTCTAAAAATAGCAACAATGACGCAATTTCTATAAATAGCAACAATGACGCAATTTCTAAAAATAGAAACAATGACGCAATTTCTAAAAATAGCAACAATGACGCAATTTCTAAAAATAGAAACAATGACGCAATTTCTAAAAATAGAAACTATGACGCAATTTCTAAAAATAGCAACTATGACGCAATTTCTAAAAATAGCAACTATGACGGAATTTCTAAAAATAGCAACAATGACGGAATTTCTAAAAATAGAAACAATGACGCAATTTCTAAAAATAGCAACAATGACGCAATTTCTAAAAAATGGAAACAATGACGCAATTTCTAAAAATAGCAACAATGACATGAAATTTCTAAAAAATAGAAACAATGACGCATTTTTAAAAATAGCAACAATGACGCAATTTCTAAAAATAGAAACAATGACGCAATTTTTAAAAATAGCAACAATGACGCAATTTCTAAAAATAGTAACTATGACGTAAATTTCTAAAAATAGAAACAATGACGCAATTTTTAAAAATAGCAACAATGACGCAATTTCTAAAAATAGCAACTATGACGTAATTTCTAAAAATAGAAACAATGACGCAATTTCTAAAAATAGAAACTATGACGCAATTTCTAAAAAAAAAGCAACAATGACGCAATTACTAAAAATAGAAACTATGACGCAATTTCTAAAAATAGAAACAATGACGCAATTTCTAAAAATAGCAACAATGACGCAATTTCTAAAAATAGCAACTATGACGCAATTTCTAAAAATAGAAACAATGACGCAATTTCTAAAAATAGAAACAATGACGCAATTCTATAAATAGAAACAATGATGCAATTCTTGTTGTTGTTGTTGTAAATATATATACACACACACACACACACACACACACCAATAAATATATAATTATGGTCATTTAATGCACAAATCTGAGAAAATTCAGTAATTTAACCTTCAAGGTCAAGGTCATTAAAGAGCCCAAACAAATTTAGGTTTGATAAACAACGAAGTCTGGTCCTTAAGAATGTTCTGTTATAATATGAAGTTGATCCCTTCAATAATAGCAAAGTTACAGTCAGTTACCGCCAAAACAATGAAAATTTCAATAATTTGACCTTCAAAGACAATGTCATTAATGAGTGAAGGTCAAGGTCTTTCGGTATATTTTTAACAGTTATCTTTGAAGATTATTATGTTCAAGTTTCAAGACAATCCATTCAAAAATAACAAAGTTACAGCCAATAATAGCCAAAAAAATGAAAATTTCAATAATTTGACCTTCAAAGTCAAGGTCATTTATGAGTGAAGGTCAAGGTCTGTCTAGTTATTTTTAAGGGATATCCCTGAAGATAATTATGTTCAAGTTTGATGACAATCCATTCAAAAATAACAAAGTGACAGCCAATAATAGCCAAAAAAATGAAAATTTTAATAATTTGACCTTCAAAGTCAAGGTCATTTATGAGTGAAGGTCAAGGTCTGGCAGGTTATTTTTAAGGGATATCCTTGAAGATTATTATGTTCAAGTTTGAAGACAATCCATTCAAAAATAACAAAGTTACAGCCAATAACAGAATGAACAAGCAAAAATTGGACTTTTAACCTTGAAGGTCAAGGTCATTTATGGATGAAGGTCAAGGTTAGTGTGGTCTACTGAAAGGTCTTGTCCCAAGGGTTGTTGTGGCCAAGTATGAAGACAATACACCAAGAAATAAAAAAGTTATGATCCAGGTACAAGTTTGCGGACGGCAACGCCGACCTGACTATAACAATACCTCTACTTTTTTTTTCAAAAAAAAAAAAAAGTCGAGCTAAAAATAAATAAGGTATTTAGTATGAACATTTATATGATGATTTTTTGTTCTAGAGCATTTGATCATCTACTGTATAAATATATGTCTCTCACACTTACCAACAACATCCATATGTCAACATTTTCTGTTTTGTTGCTAAGTTTGATATTAAATAAAAATATCAATGCATTTATTAAGTGTATTTCAGACCTTCCATTTTAGACCAATTGACTTAAATGCATAAAAGCCAGCTACCAACAGTATAGAACCTGGCCAGACTGCACATAATGGCCTGGCTCTATACTGAATGTGGCAAAAGTGAAACACATTCAATTCCGGCAAGTCAAGGTTTATATATCAAAGTATCCATCTACCAGACTTTCTTCAGCCTTGTTCTCCCAGTTATGCGTAGATTTACTAGCTTCTATCACAGCAAGTTTAAGTCGGTTAAACACTTCATCATGCTCAGTAGGGTTCTTCTTCTTGTCCTTCTCTGCCAGAAGTGCAAACTCTTGATGTAACACATCCCAGCCAACCTAATAACAATTCGTTATTGTGAACAATTCATCCATTATAATATAACATACCATTTGACAGGTTGGTAATGGATAAATTGGAACTGAAGATACACTATGTGTGTGTAATGAATCAATTTTCAACAAACTTGAACATTCATCATTTATAAACTAAGCATATTTTAAAATTTATCTTTTATTTTTGTCAAATGGATTTATAATGTAACAGAAAACAACTCTTCAGACTGCTGGCAGAAACATGTTTTACCAAGGCGCCCAGTGCCGCTTGATCATGGTCCATATTGTTTCCTTGAAACATTATACATCATTCCCAAAAAGTTGAAGTGAGGAAGAAATGGCCTGCATACCTTGATTGACAAATCATTTTTTTCACACAAAATTCTAAGGTATCATATTTCCAACACATAATCAAACGAATGGTTTTGCCATATTGAAAGATGGACAAGTGGATGTAAGATAAATAAGTGTGGTAAGAGATAAAAACTAACCTCTACACTTCTTTTAGGTAAAGCATGATAAGCCCATTCTGACAGTTTTATATCTACCATTGTATTAAATTCTCTGAAAATAGTATAAATCATAAACCTTTAAGTCATCAAGTCATATAATAGCATCTATAAGTCACCGTTTAAGTACATGTAAGTAATGTTAAGCTCCTAATTCCTTACTGGAACATATAAGCCAAGGGGGCAGTGAGAAATATGGGAGCTTTTTTCATCTACAGAAACTTCACACTAGCAACTTATCAAATGTAGGGGATAATCCAAACTTCAATTCCTGATTTTAAATGTAACACAAGGTGATGTTTCTTGTACAAATCAAAGCATAGAAATCATATCTTGAAGTCAAATTTACCCAAACAGAAGCAAGCTGGATATAATCAATAACATCTTTAATCTCTGGTTATCTCTACTACATGTTTTTTTGTGTTAAAGATATAATATAATGCTTTGACGAGTTTCAAATTCACTTTCTAAGCTACATATACATGTATGCAACAAACCAAGTATGTAAAAGGCAATACATTTGCAATGAAGTGAAAGATACAGAATTATGCTCTTAAAAGTATAATAACAAATTTATGACAAAGTATCAATGTTATCAATAAATCTGTATATAGATTATCTTACCCTACAGTTCCAGCTTGTGCAGCTGGTAAATAAATATTTTCAAACACATGTGTGGCCGTTCTCTCCCATAATTTCTTACGAAACATCATCTCCCTGAAGAAAAAAAACATTGCTATATTATGAGATGCACAAGGAGAAATGTCGCAAGGTGAGTGAAGATTTGGAACTTCAGTTTTTCTATGCTTTGGTCTAAAATAGCAGAATGTTTCTAAAACTCTTTTACTGCTTTTTACCCATTTATTAAATTTCCTGCTTGTTTAAAAGTTTGCATCTTTGCTTTTATTTGTGTTCCAACACAAGTCGGCTGGAAACACTCACTATAAAGAAGTTTCTTATTTAGCAATAAAACAGTAAGCAGTAAGACTATAACAACCATCACTTCAAACACCTTAACAAGAAACATGGCAATGCCATGAAACCAGGTTTTCAATTATCACCATTGTAGATAAATATGTTGTATTTGAAATACAAATACAAGCAACAAACAATGTAACTATGTGCAATGTAAAACATGAATAATGTAGGAGGAATTGCCACTGAAGAAGTGTTCACTATAATATTATGTATAAGGAAAAAAACAAAGGGCCATAATTAGGTCAAAAACTATCCAATCACAAAACCCCGACAATATGTGCCAGGGTGCTTGATGACAAAGCTTCTGTGAAAGTTTGAACAAAATCCGTTGAGAAATGTAGGACGAGTTCAGCACAGAAGAATTTGTTCACTATAATTATATTGATAATTCTGTATAATGAAAAACAAGTTACAAAGTAGACATGAAATAATATATCATATCTTTTTTAAATTACCTCTAAAGATGATATGACCTTTGACTGCCAAATCAAGTTAAAATCATGTAAACAGGATTTTCAATGTTAATGTCACTGTGACCTTGACCTTGGAGCCAGCCATGCGGAACATGCGTTCTGCACGTCATCTTGATGTGGTAAACATTTGTCTGAAGTTTCATCAAAATTCTTCAAAGGGTTGAAGAGTTACAGAGCGGACAGGATTTTCAATGTTAATGTCACTGTGACCTTGACCTTGGAGCCAGCCATGCGGAACATGCGTTCTGCACGTCATCTTGATGTGGTAAACATTTGTCTGAAGTTTCATCAAAATTCTTCAAAGGGTTGAAGAGTTACAGAGCGGACACAATTTCGTTTGACGCCCGCCCGCCCATCCGCCCGCCATACCCCAATCTAATAACCAGGATTTTCAAAATTGAAAACCTGGTTAAAAATAATCATAGTGGTATATATTATTTTGGTTGGTTTTAATGTTGCACCAATTCAGTATAGGTCATGAAGCGCCTTTCCAGCTTTTTTACTGGCAGAGAAAGACCTTATGAGCCCTTTCCTGCATTATTTCAGGCACAAAAAGGAGTAGAACCACCAATATTTCCTAAGCTAGCTGAATAGCTTCCTTACATGAAACAAATCTAAAGTCCTTTTGGGGATCTGAAACCACAGCGGTGAGGTGCAAGTCAATTGAAGTAAACGACCTTAACCACTTTGCCACATATGCCCCCTAAATGATTTATAAACTAGAAACAAAATCACTAACCATGCCTTGGGAGCTACAGCCCCTAAACTAATAACTTCATCCAATATCTCTCCTTTAGCCTTCTCAAATAACTCATCCTGAAATGACATGTAAATAGCTGTATGTACTTAAACATACCTTCAATAGTGTTTTTTTCTTCTAAATAAACATTTAATAAGGACACAGCAGAAAACATGTTCTTAAAAAATTTATAACATTTATTTAAAAGCATGCAATACTAATAGATCAATATAATTTTCTAATAAGGCTAATTGGTACACTTACTCTGTCCAACTCTCTCAATCTTGGAAAATTGTTTTTCCATTCTGTTTCCAGGTTATATCTTGTAGCTGAAAAACAAAAACAATTTCAGTTAAAAAGAAATATATCTGTCAAATAATTTATGAATACTTTTTCTGTACTAAAAATCAGGACAAATCTTCCTTTCAAAAAGATTTCATTTTATTTCAAAGTAGTTTACTTCATATTTATACCTACATGGGCTACATGTTTCACAGAAAACATTTTAAATAAATATCACATCGATGATTTTCCTTTCCATATTATTAACCTGTCTGAACTAGGCTTTAAACTGTTGGCTGACTAGTTTCCTTTTCATGTCTCTTAAACTGATAATGGAACAGGTCCAAGAAATGGAAAACGTGACAAATTTATATCACAAATTCAGCAGGTTAAAAGTGTTCACCTTTTTATTTCCAGTGCATATAAAACAGGCTTATGCTACCAGCATAAAGGTATCCTAGCAGTCTGGCCATAATCTGTACAACTGGTGGCTGTTTAATTTTGAATTTTTTACATTTGAATCCTTGCACTTTTAACATTAGGTTCAATATTAAAGGTAGGTAAGAAAACCCCATTAGAACATTTCTGAAGTTAAAGCCTGTTTGTGCTGATAACACGGATGACCAAAATCCCTCTACAACTTTTGACATAATGCATCTTTTTTTAAAGCACATTTACTTTTTTTCTGTCTTTTGTTGAACAAAACAATAAAGGTCATGTAGCAACTTTCCAGCTTGACAGATGAAGGAAGACCTCAGGTGCCCATCTGAGCAATATTTCAGCCATGAGTTAGCACCACACTAGAAACCACCACCTTCCATAAACTATCTGTAAAACTTCCTTACATGACAAAAGTAAAGTTCATTGCAGGATTCAAACCTACAGCACAGTCAGAGGCAGATGATTAGAAAACAATGATTAAAATCATTCGACCATGGAGGTCAAAATGACGACACTTCTTATATAACGTACCTTTAAATGCATCTGCTTGTTGTTCTATGTTGTCTTTCACCATTTTCCAGAACAGTTCTGACACAGCCATACTAAGATTATTGGTATTTGTCTGTGTCACTTTCAACGCCCCATCCCTGTAATGTAAAAATAACATTCATGGTTAGAAATTAAGAAATCTGAAAAAAGAATCACCCGGAAATTCTGTATATAGAAATTTTAGTAGATAATGAGCTTTGTTAGTTTGAAAACCCTGAATTCAGGACTCATCCAGAATTATTTCATGTATGTAATTATATTTACAGAAAATATTGCTACTTTTGGCTTTACTTTAAAGGGAGACACAGGCAAAATTTTCATTTCTTAGTTTTGATTGTTTCAGTCATCATCATTCTGTAAATGCCCTGAAAATGAATATATTAGACAGGCAAAGGAACAAAACTTTTCTCCGTATAAAGAATAAAATGGTAGTTTCCTAACTTGACCCGCGTGGGTCAGGTTAGAGCACTAGGATTTCACAATATTTGTCAAAGTGAACTCTGGAAACGTTAAAGAACATATCAAATGAATGACTTAGACTTGTTTCAATCATACAATATCCATAATATCTGTTATTGTAACTTCAAGGGTTTGTTCAAGTCATGTGACTTGTTTTAAAACTATTTGGCGATTCTATTCGGGTCTAGATTTTGTTAAACATATAAAGATATAATTACGCTTCAAACCCAAAATATTTAGAATTTAAACAAAAATTCATGCTGAAACTTCAAGAAATGTCATTTTAGCGTGATTTAAGTACATCAGATCATTTTAATATTTTAGTCATTATTTTGCCTCAATATCCCTTTAAAGCTGGTCAAAACACGATAAATAATCAACATTTTTATTAATTCAGTCATTTGCATAGATATAGCAACAATGCCGATCTAAAGTTCATGTGTGTATAAAAACACTAACACTGACTTTTCATGTTTATAATGCCATATTAAATAAGAAATTAGAAATTTCCATTCAATGTATGTCCATCTATGTTTATTAAAATATTTACTCATGTAATATGCAAAAGAAAAGCAAGGTGTTAACTTACTGCAGTAGCCTTGATTTCTGGAAAAATTCACTCTCATATTTTCTGATTGTGTCAATACTGTCATTAGAGTTACCTGAAATAATTAAAACATAACTGACGTTTATCTGTAATTTACTTCTATCATACATAAAATTCTATCTTCATACACATGTCATAACAATAACACATGTCAAGTTGTTTTTTTTTTCATGCATAAATTTCTATTGTCAAGACAATAACTCGACATGTTGTTTTTTTTGTTGTTTTATTTTTTTAACTGGCAGAGTAGTTTAGGTGAAGAAAAACAGAAACCATTGTGTGTACAGATGTACTGACAGTCTCAAACCATTATAACCTCTAACAATTTTGTTGCAAATGGTTATAATCATGGAATTAGTACCATCTAAAGCCACAGTGCCGCAACCCCTATCACCTTATTTTTGACACATCATAATCATTTCAACATTTTTTAAAAACAAACTCAGTAGAGTCATTTTAATATTTCTTAAAGTTCACAATGCATTCAAGAAGCAAATCTGTGTTATTATTACAAATAACATTTCTTAAATTGCAAAGAAATTGTGTGAACTGTTTTTTGTTTTTGTTTTTAAATTAAAAACAGAATCTTACCATATCTTTAAATATTGTCTAAATTCTTCTACAACCAAAGTACAGGCATTGGCAGTAAGTTAGATTAGTGTGATCTGAGATTAGACTTACATACCTTTGCCAGTCACAACAGCAAAATAGCCTAGTGCTTTCATTGGAAACAATTCGCCATCTAATATTGATTTTATCTGAAACAAATTACAATTTGCTTTAATGTCATAACTTAAACATGAATACAGATTATTCAAATTACAATCACACAATAATATGATAATCTTTTCTTCAGTAATATTTCACAAACTATAGTATGCTTTCATTGACAAAGGTTATAAGGTAATTTTCTTAGCATTACTGGTTAAATGATCTACCACATGCTCTTAAGACTCCAAGATTTATGTCACACACAAGAAAACAATGAGCAGAAATATCTCCATCAGTTAATTAAATTGTTAGGTTTCTGTTTTTGAAAAATTCAGCTCCCTCGCAACTTATAACAGCAAAAGACCACTTTCTTGAAGTAAATTAAATAACCAATAACCTCTTCAGCAATGTAGCCACTTTGCTAGGAAGGCTAAAAACAAGCACATATTAAAGATTTTTGAAGAATGGTGTCCCCAGAAATTTGAGCCTGGAAAATGTAGAATATTCTGCGTTCAAGTGCCATAATTCAGTCAAAATCCATGTTAGAGTTATGGGCTTTGAAAGATGACCACCTATCATGCTCTCAAATAAATGTATGAAGTTTCAACCCCTTCGATTCAGTAGTTTTGGAAATACCAACCAGCACACAAAAAACTTGACCAAAGTGTGACACCCTAAGCACAGGTGAGTACAAAAGATCTCCCTATTCTTCAAATAGTCAAGCTAAAACTCAGAAAACATTTTAGTCAGAGATTGATAATTTCACTTGTCCGCTAGTGATTACAAGTAAAATTTAAGTGAAATTGATGTAGGAAGAGTAGAAACATGTTGCCTGCACATTCGATTTAGAAGCTACTTGTCCTGTAGGACAAGTGACTCTGAAAATATTTTTCGATGTCTGCTTTAACTTTAATGAAAGATATATACATACTCTGTTAGGATTATACAGATTACTCTCGGCTAGATCCACCTTGGTGAGGACAAAGATTGTTCGTTTACCACTCGGGTCTATCTGACTAACTACATCTGTTACATTGCTTCTCTCTGCATCCAGGGAACCATCTGTTATATAAAACAATACAATATAAACTTTACTTATGACATTGTATACAGGGAACCAACTCTTTTAAGTTTACTATTAGCAGAATAAAAGCAAATGTTTATTTTCATTTTACCTAATTTCCACAAGTTACAACCCCACATTTTACCAATTGCTTGGGCAATTCAATATATGATGCCTCTCTCTCAAAGCAACATAGCCATAACTTGTTCTTTTATAACTGGTAACTAAGACCTGTAATGCACCACATTTGTGTCTAACATAACTTACTTGTCTCGTCTTTTAGGTAGTTTTTCATCTCTTACATTATGCACCCTTTCAAACAAAAACTCAACAGTTTGACAATAATTTTACTGTTTAAAAGAAGCAGAATTGAACAAACTACCTACCTTGTATACACAGTATAATTGCATTCGGATTTTCCATGTAACTTTTCACAAGCCTTTTGATACCTTCTTTCGTATCAGGGGCCATAACTGTTGTTTCAGTCTGAAATAATAAAATAAGATGATAATAAATATCAATTTTTGCGCACTGTGTTATAACTTTGAAAATACAGAATGGGTCCAAAAAATTACAAAGATAACTAATGTAGTTTCAAATAGTGTGATATTAGTTATATCTAATTGATTTATTTTAACATAAGTTATTTCTCACTGATATATTTTAATATTAGTTATATCCCACCGATATATTTGTTTGTTTGTTTCATTTTACGCCTTTTCCCAACAGTATTTTTGTCATATTGGCGGGTAATTTCATAACCATCGTTCCTGGAGAGTTACACCAGTACTAGACTACCTTCCTCCGTGCTAAACTACCAAAGCATCTCCCGGGGATCGGACCCACGCCAGAAAGGTAACTGGATTAGAAGTCAATGACTCTAACTCCTCAACCACGTAGGCGGTTAATATATTTGAATATTAGTTATATCTCATTATTATATTTCAATATAATACATCTCACTGATATAATTAGTTTAATATTAGTTACAACTCCTAATCTATTCTAATATAAGTTATATCTCACTGATATATTTTAATATCATATATCTCACTGATATATTTTTATTTAAGTTATATCTCACTGATGATATATTTTAACGAGGAATTAGACATCCTGACTCTAAAATTATTATGTAAGATATTCTGTTACAAATATAAACAATAAATGATAAACTTACTGAAATAATTCCAGGTAAATCAACCAGTACCATTCTTTGAATACCAGGCCCTTTCACAGACATTGATATACACTGAAACATCCATTGGAATAAATAAAGGTTATTTTTTTAATGGGAGTTTAAATCAAGATGCAACTAAATTGTGCTATATAAAGTGATATAATAATACCATCACTTGCAATGCTTAACGGGGAAAAGAAGGTATTTACTGAAAAAAGAAACAAGAGGGCCATGATGGCCCTGAAGTCGCTCACCTGTATGTAGGCCCCCGGAACTGGGCAATTTTAAACCCCAGGGCTTTTATTTGAACAAACTTGGTAGACACCCATTAGAAGATGTTTCATGCTAAACATCTAAGGTCTAGCTCCTTGGGTTTTTTAAAAGAAGATTTTTTCAAGTTTTTTCTTTACACATATAGTTTAAAACAATGACACACCTGGGGCAGGACCAGTTTTGACCCCAGGGCTTTTATTTGAACAATCTCTGTAGACACTTACTATAAATTGTCTCATGCTTAATATCCAAACTCTAGCTATTCGGGTTTTATCAAAGAAGATTTTTAAGTTTTTGCTATACACATATAAGGAAAATCAATGTCCCCCGGGGCCGGCAAATTTTGACCCCAGGGCTTTTATTTGAAAAAACTTTGTAGACACTCACTAGAAGATGCTTCGTGCTTAATATCTAAACTCCAGCTATTTGAGTTTTTTTTCAAAGAAGATTTTTTAAGTTTTTGATATACACATATAAGGAAAATGAATGACCCCCGGGGCGGGGCCAATTTTGACCCAGGGCTTTTATTTGAACAAACTTGGAAGACACTCACTAGAAGATGTTTCATGCTTAGTATCTAAACTCTAGCTATTTGGTTTTTTTCAAAAAAGATTTTTTAAAGTTTTTGCTATACACATATAAGGAAAATAAATGACCCCCGGGGCGGGGCCAATTTTGAACAAACTTGGAAGAAATCCATTAGAACATGTTTCATGCTGAATATCTTAGCTCTAGCTCTTTGGGTTCTTTAAAAGAAGATTTTTAAGTTTTTACTATATGCATATAGGGAAAATCAATGTCCCCCTGGGGCGGGGCCAATTTTGACCCCAGGGCTTTTATTTGAACAAACTTGGTAGACACCCATTAGAACATGTTTCATGCTAAATATCTTAGCTCTAGCTCTTTGGGTTCTTTAAAAGAAGATTTTTTAAAGTTTTTACTATATGCATATAGGGAAAATCAATGACCCCCAGGGGGGGGGGGGCAATTTTGACCCCATGGCGTTTATTTGAACAAACTTGGTAGACACTCACTAGAAGATGTTTCATGCCAAATATCTAAGCTCTTTGGGTTTTCTAGAAGATATTTAAAGTTTTTTCTTTTGGTTGCCATGGCAACCAGAGTTCTGCATGGAATTAAATTCTTTGAACAATTTTCAAAGGTGACCACCAAAGGAACATTCCTGTGAAGTTTGGATGAAATTGTCTTAGTGGTTTATGAGGAGATGTCATTTAAAGTAAAAGTTTACGGACGCCGGACGAAAAGCGATCACAAAAGCTCACCCTGTCACTTTGTGACAGGTGAGCTAAAAAACTTAAAATGTGTAAGATCAACAGAACAAACTGACAGCCTTGTCAACTTTCAGAAGAGGTCATTGAAAGAAGAGATGAATTTAAATAAGAAACTACAGATGAAATGTCTTAATCCAATCCTGAAATATTTTGTACCATCACATGTGTTGTCTGATAATAGGCAATTGCATGTTGCAGCTACTGTGTAGCAGGAGACACAAAAATCATTAACATGCCCAAAACACGATTTATATTCAAAGATCATAACTAAGCCAACAATCATTTTACTGGAAAACCTGTTAAATATGCACAAGCACTTGAAGTACCAATCTGTTACTCTGAAGAAGGCGACACTATAATAGTTGTTCTAAAATTTTATACACTTAAGATATTATTCAGTAAATTTTAAACAAATCACATACCTCAGTACTGACAGTCTGTCCACCTTTAACACTCTTTTTCATCCTATGCTCGACTTCCTTCCTTAATGCTTCTGTCTGTAAAGTGTGACAAAATTTTCATTGTTAAAATATTTTTTTGTTTAAATGGAAATTAATATAACAATGGAGTGTAAACATTTTCTTTTGTAGCAAACAATTTCAATAAATATTCAAAACATCATGAAAAACTGTTTCTTCAGATTTACTCATTCCAGGAAAACTAGAGTTTTATAACTGATTAATTAGTAGTGAGAAACATAACTCTAAGATCAATTTATGCGACTATTATCTTACATCTTCTTCCTTTGTCAGGTCAAATTCTCTGGTACTGTCCTTAAACTGTGCCACATGATATGGACCTTCACTCAGCGTGACCTTGACTGGTGACCTTGTCATCATCTCACCAGAACCCCTGTCATAATTGAACCAATACAATATATTGAGTGTAAGAATTTAAAGAAACAAAACAAAAAGACACAAAGTCTTGGTATAATTGTGGTCTCATTATACAAATTTCTATAGATCTTTTAAGCTGTTGGTTTCTAAATCGATTTTTAACACATTTTTTGTTAATATCTCTGGGGCTGATCCACCTGACCAGCTGAATCAGTAGTGTGAGACAAATGACCATGACTCTCAATGTCTGAGATCAATTGTCACAGAGAAATTGTGCCTTTGTTTAAATACAAGATCAAACAGCTTTTAAATTGATGGTATTTACAAATCACTGACAGAAAAATGCCTCTCAAATCAATGGTATATAACAGGTACTGTTGGCACAAACTGCCAATGGAAATTGTACTTAAATATATAATGATTTAAATGGATGGAAATTAAAGCTATAATCTGACAGATTGGCTTTTTTAAAGGAATTACAACCTGCAATTGTTAGGGGAAAAAATTCAATTAATGAGATGAATACCAAGATATAGCATTATTAACATTAATTTATCACATACCTTGGGAATATCCTAGCCCTGGCAATCATTTCCAAAACACTTGTTTTACCAGCACTCTGGTCACCAACTACAACTACCTGGTGAAAATAAATAAATGTTGTATATCTTTTAGAAAAAAAGAAAATTATTATATATCTTTTAGAAAAAAAAGGAAAATTATTATTTAAACATTATAGGGTTAAAGCAACTTTTTTTGTCCATTAACATCTGCAGAAGTATGAGGATGTATTTAAAGCTTAAGCCCGAAGGGTGAGGGATTTAATAGGTTCAAGGGCTTCTGCAAATGTTAATGCACAAAAAAGGTGCATTAGCCCTATTTTTGCATAAAAGTATATGTTTATTTGTGCTTCTTCCATGTATTCCATCAGTCACACAATTTATTTATAGCTTATATATATAGCAAGTATTTATTTTATATCTTCAAGGAATTGACAGCATCTTCTGAATTTCTTGATCTAGTTTTGGTTGACAAATTGCTTAAAATAGGTTGCGTTTAACCATATCAGTATGTAGTTTTTTCTCCTTATGAATGGTCTGGTAACTAGATCCATTCCTATTTGTTAAACCTTATTTTCCCCAAACTCGGGTCAATCAATATTCAAAATTCAGATTTAATTTTTGATTTTGTTGGGTTTGATTTTTTTCTCAAATAAAGTTATTTTACAACTTGGCACTAACACTGGATAGCACTAAAGAAGCAATGGTTTCTTTATACAAAATATACATAACCAAATGCAGAATAACCGATTTGAACATAACATACATGTATAATAATATATTTACCCTTGGTAAATGATCCTGCGTGTTGTAACTGGAGTCAAAATCTGTGAGAACATCTAGTATCTCCGAGTACATGTCAATCAAGGATTTCTATAGCAAAAAGAAAGCAAAAATTATATACAATATAAAAACTCATACTTAAACTTGAATATAACCTTTTAATTTCTATCACAATGATCAACTTTAAAATCTTTCATTAAAGTATTAAGTGCCACTAATTATGAGGCTTCATGACAAAATATGCAAGATTTTTTACTTTTTGTAATCATGAAGATTTAATAGTGCAAAAGCACAGAATTAGAATTTCATACTTTTCATCTACAATCATGTGTATGAACTCTTATCCTGCTAGCGGCAGCTGAATCTACCCATGTGACCAGTGGAGACCAAGATCAGCCAGCATATCTGTACCATCTGATCATGCTCTGCACTGTTAGCCATTCAGACATAAATTGAAATTTCCCCTTAAAGCGATGAATGATTTAGTAAATATTGAAAGATGGATGAGTCTATTTAAGAACTTTAGCATGATATGGGTATAAAGGCTTTATTCAACTCTAAATTTTGCTGGTGACAATAATAATTTGCCTTGGCTCCCAAAATAAAGTTACAAAAGCATTCAACGGGAGTGGTGGCTTAATGGTTAAGGTGTCTGCCTCTCAACCCTGGGATCATGGGTTTGAGCCCCATTTGGGTCACGACCATGTTTCTTCATATGACATCAGTACTGGTCGGTTTTAGGAAGCGGACTCAAAAGTGATTTATATAAGTTGCAAGAACTTGTTTTGGAATCAAGCTTAAATAAATATGTTTAAACCAAAAGCATTCACATTCATGCAGTCTTACCAGAGTATGATATAGACTGTTTTATTTTTCATAGTTATATCAAAACCACCCCACATCAGGGGCGTAACTAGGCGTACTCCTGTACGCCCGTGCGTACAAATCAATTCTGTATTCTGAAAAATCACATGCACTAAAAGTTCTGAAAAAGTAATAAAAACAGAGGGATGGTAGTGTGGTCGGGGCAACAAATATTCATATAGGCCTAGATCTACTATATTTTTTATCATTATATAAAAATTCAAAAACATTTACAGTAGATCTACACATGTATTAGATCTAATTAATATCTTTTAAAATTATGGATTGCTGCAGAGAAGTACTTGGCCGTGCTGAAAAGGCAGAAAAAGACAGAGTGTGCAATTCCATCTCAACTGTATGCATTTATTTAAAAGAATCGCCAGAGTCTTGTATAAGTTATTGAAATAAGTATTCCTTGTGGTCAGCAAAATTAATCATTGAGTCATCAAACACACTCCATGCGTAATTATTTCAGTCGTATATCTGTTAATGAATTTATTTTATTTTCACAAAATATCTTAAACGAATCCTTTAAAGTATTCACGTGAGTTCTAAATGTAACTCCACATAATCTATGTTATATGCAAAGATTTTTAATTAATTTACTAACGTTTCTGAAAGGAGATTTTAAAATATCTTTGCATGTAATTTAACGCGGTATTTTTTTATATATTATAATGTAATGAATTATTTAACAGGCCAAAACATTCACTGAATTTAGTCACAATTTTCGCACTATTATCAGTCGTAAGTAATATATTGTTACAACAGTTGCTATTTATGAAGGTGCAAAATGGCGGTCTTTCCTGAGAGAGCATAGGGGGCATTGTATCTCGCATTTTAAACACAAGCTTAAATGTGAATAAACCCATTTTGTCCGAGAATATCAGTGTAAACTGTTGCGTATGTGGTGGACTAACGTATAAACTTGACAATTGCCGTCCAACGGCCCCGGCTTTTCTAAAGGATGCAAGGCTCTGTACCCAAACGTGAAGCACTGTTTGACCCTTTTAAGTGGTCATGCCAGTTCTCGACAACTACTGAACTAAAACGTTTGTACGTTGGAGACAGAGCGTATGTCTGGTCTAAGTCTCATAAACATTTATAAAGATAGGGTAGTAAATGCCGAGTAGACAAGTTTGCATACCAACGAAACAGACGTCTGGCGTTGTTTTTTTGTGTTTTTTTTGTAAATTTAAATAATTTACTGAATACGGGAGATTTGTTGCTAAACATCAGTTTGAAGGACGCAAAATAACAAGTATGTTATGCAAAAAAAATCAAATATAAATAAAAAAAAGGAGATATATAACGTACGTAAAATTAACAAGAGCTGTCGGTAGGACAGCATGCTCGACTATTCTTAGTGCTTGATAGTAAAAAAAATGCCTGATACAGTTACCTCCTCCTGTTTACAGGTTGGGGTCATGATGGTGAACAAGTGTGCAAAGTTTCAAAGCCATATGTCAATGGACTTTGAAAATATTTGAATTATTACAAAAACTTTAACGTAAATTCTAAGTCGAAAAAGGGGCATAATTCTGTCAAAATGCTTGATAGAGTTACCTCCTCCTGTTTACAGGTTGGGGTCATGATGTTGAACAAGTGTGCAAAGTTTCAAAGCCATATGTCAATGGACTTTGAAAATATTTGAACTATTACAAAAACTTTAACGTAAATTCTAAGTCGAAAAAGGGGCATAATTCTGTCAAAATGCTTAATAGAGTTACCTCCTGCTGTCTACAGGTTGGGGTCATGATGTTGAACAAGTGTGCAAAGTTTCAAAGCCATATGTCAATGGACTTTGAAAATATTTGAACTATTACAAAAACTTTAACGTAAATTCTAAGTCGAAAAAGGGGCATAATTCTGTCAAAATGCTTGATAGAGTTACCTCCTCCTGTCTACAGGTTGGGGTCATGATGGTGAACAAGTGTGCAAAGTTTCAAAGCCATTTGTCAATGGACTTTGAAAATATTTGAACTATTACAAAAACTTTAATGTAAATTCAAAGTCGAAAAAGGGGCATAATTCTGTCAAAATGCTTGATAGAGTTACCTCCTCCTGTCTACAGGTTGGGGTCATGATGGTGAACAAGTGTGCAAAGTTTCAAAGCCATATGTCAATGGACTTTGAAAATATTTGAACTATTACAAAAACTTTAACATAAGTGGTTACGCCGACGCCGACGCTCGGGTGACTGCAATAGCTCTACTTATTCTTATCGAATAGTCGAGCTAATAAAAAGAGCTTGAAATCATCACCAATATGTTGTAAATATAGCCTCTAGATAGTCACGAAATGCCAAGATATCGCTTCCTTTTTCAAAAATTTTCTCGGGGGTGCATGCCCCCGAACCCCCCTAGTTAAGGAGTACATATCAAAATCGCTCAGTTACGCCCCTGCACATTAACAATGGGCAGATCCAAATTCCAAGCAGGGCAAATCCATTATACAAATTTACCAAAGTTAAAGGTTTAGAAATATGTTACAAACAATCCAAGGAAATAGAAATCTTGATTTTATTTCAAATTGTTATTATCTTAAAAACTATTACTAACATTCATTTTACGTTTCTTGCCGGTCTTTTGCTCCATCAGGTTCAGCTGCTTTCTCAAGTCTCGGTTTTCCTTTTCTAATCTATCAACTTCTTTCTGGTATTTTGTCTGTGATAAAAACATTCTTCATTAAGGCCATTATTTTTTGATATTTCGGTTTACTGACCTGCCGCATCCTTTTTTTGGGAAAATGAAAAAAAAAAAAAAAAATCTGCCCCTAAAAAAAAGTACTCGAAATATGCGCTAATTAAATTTAGATCTAAATGTTCTATGGGAGATTTATTACTTATTAGACTTGTCAAAGAAATGTCGAGATTATTTTTGACGGCGATGTATTTTGCATGAAAAAAAATGTCTGCAAAATGGGTTAAACCATTCTCGCCAAATTAATTAGGCTAATATCTATATATTTAAAATATATTTCATGTATGTATATACAAAATCATATGTTTTGAAGGTCCAATTGTGTAGAAATGTCAAAGAAAACAACTACCAAAAAAAAGAAGAAAAAAAAAAAGCCAAAATACGCATGTTATCACTTTGATATGGATACAGCGAGAGAAATCTTATTCAATGAGAATCAGATTAAATTAAATCTAAAAAGAAATAATTACAGTGACAATATCACTATTTACAGATTTAACAAAAACATTAGTCTTTAAAAAGAGACTAGATATTTTCCTTTCAAACAAAATAAAAAAATGCACTTACGATTAATAATTTACATGTCGGTAATTGACCCGCTAATATTTCGATAGAAATATTTTTTCAACTTGGGCAATAATTTAACAAGTGTAATCTTTTCTTGACAGGTTTTTAAACTTCTGTTATATAAATAAATGAGTGCGAGTCAGTTGAGTTTCGGCACCTTTGATGATTCCGATTAAATGACTGGTACTACATGTGTGTGAACATCAAAGATTTACACCGACTCTTTTGATGGGTAGGCGAGGTCATCTCGTGTGTAGATTAAATAATAGCAACATGATATTTTATCAATTTGTGGATGCTATTTTGTTTTCACACCTGTATGTGAACGATGTTTTGTGTATTTATAAGCACTGTGGAATTTAGACAGTCGGTCATTTAATTTCTCTAGTAAGTACTATGTACGCATCACATTTATCAGAATCGGGATGGACTAATCATAAGAGAAGGGATTCTTACAAAGTATGTCACCTTCCAGACATGAAGATAATTATGAAAACTTTTCTCTTTTCCTTTTTTTTTTTTTTTTTTTCCCCTCCTCCGACCCTACCTATTTTTGGAAAAAATCAGTAAACCAAAATATAAAAAAAAATGGCCTAAAAATAAAACAAATGACTGGGGAATGTCATGTAACCAGATTTTTCTGCCAATTTTACATACATGAATGAACAAAGGACCATAATTCTGCCACATATGATGAAATAACAAAATCGTGAAATATGTGCCAGAGCATTAGTTCAGATAAATTTTGGTTGAAATCCATTTAGAAATGCAAGATGAGTTGTGCATAAAAGAAATTGTTGGGTTCTTTAGCAATGACTGATACCAGGCACCATTCAGTTTTAAGTCCATTTACTACCATATTTATTTCATTAAGCATTTTGGAAGTATTATTTTTCAAAATCAGAATTGTAATTTTTGCAGTAGATATACAACTTTCTTCACTTTAAAATCTAAGCTATACAGCTTTTCAAAAACAAACCCAATGTTTAAACAATCAAAATGTCATTTAGAGGTGTCAAGGTTTTAAGTGCGGAAATATGCTAAACAAATTTCATTATCTGTGCTTAAATCATGTCCTTAATATAATAATTACTATGTAAAATTAAAAAAAAGTTTAAAGGCGTTGCTTAAGTTACATATATAGACATATTGGCGAAAAGGAAACTATATAATAAAAATTTCTTTAAACTTTGCTTGATATTAAAGTATAATAACAGAAATTTTTTAAGAGAAAATAAGTTATGGGTCACCAAGGTCATTATGAGTTATATAATATATTTATGAAAATCTTAAATCGTTCGTACCTGCATTTTCAAAATTTCATCATTCATGGTGTCTTGTCTAGCCCTATCTTCCACCTGAAAGTAAACCAAGTGTATTTTATCACACTCAATCCTTATACATAAAACATTCTTACATTTATAACAATGACCCCCTATTCTTAGTTTATCAAGATACATTATTCAGAGACAAAACTATTCATAATATTTACAGTTACTCCTGCATGTTGAGTTGACAAATGTAATAGAATACCCATTCAACAAGGGTTTCTTAAGTATTAATGACCTTAACCCAGCAACCTGAAACCAAAGTCTTGGAAAACACAAAGTATTTATAAGTATCTAAATAATCATAAAATTATCATACCTTTAGTTATTAAAAGTAAAAGTCTTTTTTTTTTTGAAATTCTGACAATATGTCTGACAATGATTGACTACGACTTTCATTTTGTAGGTAAGTTATCTCAAAGTTCTTCCATGAATTATTTCACCATAGAGATCCTTCAATTTGGACAATATTTGGCCTAACAGACCTTTCGATGATACAAAATACACTGTACTTGGCCAATCACGTCCTTCAGTAATGAAAGTACTCAGGCATACAGACTCTTTAACGCTAAAATTTCTCGGCCACAGACACCTTTTATGAACGGAAATACTTACTTAGCACGAGAAATCCTTCCAAAAGATAGAAATGCAATGTACTTTTTGCAAGAGGCTCTAACAAAGTAAATGTAGAATTACAATTCAACTTACTGGTGAACCAGTCCTTCCTTCACCCTTTGAAAATGGACTGATACCAATTTTCGGCAATGCAGACTTGGTCATTTCAGAATCTGAAATTTATAAAATTATGTTATAGTGTAAATGAAGTTATTTAACAGTTTCAAATTACCAATTTTACAAGTCCTATGCAATTTTTAATAAGACAGAGAACCTAACTGTTATTTGTTATAAAATTTAGTTTATTTACAAGAAATTTTAAAATGTTTTATAATAAAACCGTATATTACTTTAAAAAAGAACATTATTATAAACATGTTTCTTAATCCAAACAAGAGCAATCAGTGATCACATGTGTTGCCTCATGATGGCCAATTTCATGTTGGGACAAGTTTTGTGACAGACGAATAGACAGACGGACAGTGCACAACTAGACTTGGTACTGATCATTTCTGTAAAGTTTGGATAAAATTGCACCAGTAGTTTATGAGGAGTAGTCCGGACAAGCTTTTATGTATCTTGCAACAAACAGAAAAAAACACCTTTTAATCAAAGGGCCATAACTCGGCCAAAAATCATTCAACCAGAAAACCCCTGCAATATGCGCAAGGACTTGAGCTATATATCAATCCTGTAAAGTTTCATTGAAATTGCATTAGTGGTATACGAGAAGTAGTCCGGACAAACTTTAAAAATAAAAACTATTAAAGGGCCATAACTCTGACAACAAGAGCCCGGTTTGAGCCGGGTGATGCTCCCCGAATCGGTTTTGGACACAGGAAAGTACACCTCTTGTAGTTTCAGAGTTATGTCCTTGGAAAAAGTTCAAAGTGCAATAATTCCAAAATTAGGAAAGGCAGAGTAACTGTTCTTTCCACTGCACTTCTAATCACTGTTATCTATCAACTTACAAAGTTTCTTGTTGATATCTCTTATGGTTTCTAAGTTATGTTCCGGACAAATTCAAAAAGGAAAAATACACAAATGGCAAGGCAGAGTTATGATTCTCATGCACTGCACATCTACCCATTGAGATACATCTACCTACAAAGTTTCATGTTGATATCTCTTATAGTTTTACAGCTATGTCCAGTACAAGATTTTTCTAAAAGGGGAGATAATTCAAAAATGAGGCTTAACAGAGTTATGTTTTTTTTGCACTGCACTTCTACTCAATGAGATCTATCTACCTACAATGTTTCATCTTGATATCTCTTATAATTTTAGAGTTATGTTCCTGACAAAGTTCAGTGTTAAAATTAACAAAGGGCAATAACTCCAAAATTAGGACAAAAAGAGTTATTGATCTTATGCACTGCACATCTACCCATTGAGATCTATTCACCTACAAAGTTTCATGTTGATATCTCTTATAGTTTTAGAGTTATGCCCGGGACAAGATTTTTCTATAAGGGGAGATAATTCAAACATGAGGCTTTACAGAGCTATGGTTCTTTTGCACTGCACTTCTACTCAATGAGATCTATCAGATCTATCTACAATGTTTCATCTTGATATCTCTTATAGTTTTAGAGTTATGTTCCGGACAGAGTTCAAAGTGTTGAAATTAACAAAGGGCAATAACTCCAAAATTAGGACAAAAAGAGTTATTGGTCTTATGCACTGCACATCTACCCATTGAGATCTTTTCACCTACAAAGTTTCATGTTGATATCTATTATAGTTTTCGAGTTATGCCCGGACAAGATTTTTCTATAAGGGGAGATAATTCAAAAATTGGGCAAAATAGAGTAATGGTTCTTTGACACTGCACTCCCCCTCAATGCCCTCTACCACTGTATGAAGTTTAAACAAATTATCTCCAAGGGTTTTCAAGTTATGCTCCAGACAAGTAAACGGACAGACAGATGGACGGACGGACAAGGCGCCGACTATATGCTCCCCCGAAATTTTTCGGGGAGCATAAAAATCATTGAACCGGAAAATGCTGACAATATGCACAACTACACTTGGTACTGATCATTCCTGTCAAGTTTGGATGAAATTGCACCAGTACTTTATGAGGAGTAGTCCGGACAAATTTTGGACAGACATATGGACGGACAGATGACGGAGAAGTGATTCCTATATGTCGCCACTACTCCGTAGAGGCAACTCTTCTACTAAAATATTTTCAAAGGTCCATTAGGCAACAGAAATGTTATCATTTTATTTTCCCAAAAGCTTTTTTATTTTTGGTCCTATGTTATAGTTTCCAAAAAGTTACTAATTGGCAAGTTACCTAAATCACCTTTGGCTTCTGTTGCCTTTTGGCAATAAGCACAGTTATAGTGATTAAGTATTGTGTATGAGAGTCAAAATACTACTTTTTTTACACTTCGCAAGTTTAATGACAAATAATTACAAATTCAGCGTTACTTTTTTCAGGTGAAAAGCATCTAACATGCTCTGAAATGATTATTTAAACATTATAAATTTCACATTTTCCCTTTCGAAAGAATTACATATTTTTTTGTTTCTGAGACATCATGTGCCTTTAAAGAGAAAATACTGTAAAATGAACATACTTGTTTTTTGTACATTAAATAAATATAATTTTTTTCTTACATTATCTCTTATCCTTTACATGTAATTAAAACTTATTTGCGGTAAATAAAAATGATATTTTCATACAAAATCAATGTTCTTCCAATTTACTGTATGATACCTTAACTATATGTTTCTTACTTATATAAGATAAAAATCAAATCCATGTATTAACTTTTTTTTCTTTTCTTTTTAATTCAAAGCATGATATGAGGTTAAGATTATGATAAAATATAGCAGAAGAAAAAATGGTTTTGGTCCCGAGCATCACTTAAACCATCAAAATTAATGTTACTTTTAGTCATAATCAGCAATGTATAAGTCTGTTAACAATAATAAGATAAAACAGAACACTTTAATATCAGTGAACTTAAAATGAAACAGACCTTGGTGTTCAGGTACTAAATCTTTTGATGGTTCATGTATAATTCAAAGGGCAATAACTCTTGTGTTTTAATTCATAGGCATAATTCCATGAGTGCAATTTCAGTCAATACAATATACCACTTCATATATAACAGAACTTTCTTTGCAACTTATAAATAAGAATTATTCAAAAAGAACAACAAAGTGGTAAATTTGAGCAATTCTGACATGGGAATAAATATATCCAGGTATCAAAATCTCATAAATCATGGAAAAGCCTGAAGTTGCTTAATAAAAACTCTTTAATGATCTATGTGCCAGGTACATTTCTTTTTCTTATCAAAAACACTTTACATTTGTACTATCTAACAGGAGCAGAAAATGTTACACTTAGACAAACTGTTTGAAAGAAGTTGTCCTGTTGCTATCAAAATTGGTAAAGAGGAGAAGTTGTGAAGTACAAACCTGGTATATGATAGCCTAACACATGAGGAATTGACTCTCTACCTGGGAATACAAGCATAGCAACATGTCAGAATAAATTGTGATGAACGAATCTTAACATACTGGTGAACAGTTTTTATTCAAACTTGATCAATCTATAGTGCCCATTGGTATGAAGCAGTGAGATTATTTTAATAACACTGGCTTCAACTATTTGGACAAAAAATTTCTGGTGTGGTGTCATAATAGAATACATGGCTGTAAACCAAGTTAGGTCTCTCATGATCCCTCAGTCCAAAACATGAGATCATCACAATCAATTAATAATTAAATCAATGAGCTTAAATGCATTTTAGCTGCATTAGCATTTGTACGGGACATGTCATACTCATTCGCTTAAATGCCTCGGACTAGTAATCTAAAAGATGGCTGCGGCAATGCTGCCCATGTGAGTTGAAACCTTGTCATAATCAAACGGTTGTTTTGACGAGCAAGAAACTTATATTAATTGCTTAGTACTAGTTGGTTCAAGGAATGAATTTAGGACTTTCATAGGACTTGCAATAAGATTATAGTTTCCAACACAATCAAACTAAAATAAATATGGTATAAACTGAATAATATCATCCTTGAAATATTTTATCCAAGTATACTTTTAAACTGAAATGGTCTTTGTCAATTGCTTTAAACATGCAAGTATAAAAGAGCCAATTGATACTCCTGGAACAGAGTGTACTTCAAATACCATTAAAAACATTACTCTAAAAAATGAGAGATTTTTTATTAGTATGATATACATGTATATAATGAAGCATTGCTACTAAACTAAGACTTTTGTTCACAAAAGATACCCTAAACATCAAAACTGAATTAACTAAAATAACAGTTCTTGTCAAGAAGTATATTGTAACCAAGTGCAGTGATTTTTCTCACTCAGTTGGGAAGAAGCCTTAGCCACTTGATTTTGGGAAAAATTGTCGCTAAAATTGCTAATTTGGGAAGTATAAAAGCAGGTTTAAGTTCAGATTTTTGGGAAAACTGCATGATTTTAAAGAAAATTTCAATTGGGAAGAGACCCTTTATCGGAGTCTGTTATATAAGCAGGAAAATCACTGAAGTGTGAAGGCTTTATCTCATAGAGTGAAAAAAAAAAAAAAAAAAACACAAAAAAAAAACACCACAAACAAATCAAGTTGTCCTCAAATAGTCACACTCAATAAAACAATAACATGCCCTCGCTAATCTACATAATTATAAGAATGACAGTGTGGCTGAGGAGTCAGACTAGTAAACTAAGGATTGCTGACTGCATGAGTTCAAACCCTGTCAGGGGCAAGCCATTGTTTCTGTGAGCAAGAAAATTTACACTCATTGCTTTGAACTGACTGGTTCCAAGAACAGGGGTTAGTATCTCGAAGCTATCGTTAGCATAACGACTATCGTATACCTCTCGTTAAGGTTTTCACCGCTATCTCGACGTTCTCGTAATTAACGAATAATCGTTAACATGCCCAATTATTAACGGATGCCTAGAGGGTGTCTTAAGGCTCTCGTTACTATCACTTTGACACAAAATTAAGAAAGGTGCGATTTTAAAGTACATAAAAATGAGAATTATATCATTTTATTGATAAAAAATGATGAACCGACATCAATATAGTATTGTATTTCTTTTTCTCATGAATTTTCACAGGCCCGTAATAAATTTTATTGTGTAAATTCACTCAAAGAACTCTTTAATACAATTCCATAAAAAAAACATCATTTATTATTTGAAAGAGATAAACTTGTATTCTTGGATCTAATTGACTCATTTTTATTGTCATTTACAAAGTTTTACATAACATTTTAAGCCTATTACAGCATTCGGCACGATATGGCCAGTTATGTGTTGACGTGCCGTAAGAATCCAAACAAACAAACTTTTTCTCACATATCAAACATATGTAAAGCTTATTTACAGTTTAATTAAAGACTTATATTTGAATGCGGATGAAAAAAAAGCATATCATAACTTAAACAGCGAAAGGAATAAACTCTGTAATGAGTAATTTTGCACAAGAAAATATAAATAAATATTATGCATACATCATGCTGAAAATTCAACAAAATTCTAACTTGTTACAGAATTATATTTCGAAAAGTAAATTGTAAAATTAATGGCATCATGAAGAAAAGTGCATTACGTCAGCTGCAAAATCGGTACCACAAAAAGTCATGTAATATATAGAAATGTTGTTTGTTTATCTTTTCAGATTATCATGTATTTCACTCGCGAACACCAGCTGTTATAATTTAACTCGTTATCTTTTAATTAATAATTCAGCAAACATCTTTTGTTTAAGACAAAATGAAAATTTATCCATATTAATTAACAGCAGTCATGTACGTATATAATATTATTTAGTTATACAGATTTTTGACAGGTTATATGGCCGTATATAAACGATAACCCGAGCCGCCAGGTGAGAGTTATATTGCAAACAAAATTATATCGGCCATATATCCTGTTAAAAATCTTTATAACGAATTTACAATACTGCAGAAAAAGAGAGATTTCTTGATAAATTGACAGCAGCAGTGTATATAAACTATATAAACACCACAATTATCCAATGAAAATTGACGTTACAAACTTGCAGTAACAAACGTGCAGTATTATAAAAGATTTTATAATACTGCACGTTTGTCACGTCACTTTTCATTGGATAATCGTGACAGTTTTATAGTTTTATATACACTGTTTCTGGTAATTTTCTAAGAAATCTCACTTTTTTTCTCAAAAAAGGGAAGTTTGTGGTTTTATAATTCGTTATAAATGACATGTTAAATGATCATATACAAACGGTTGTAGGCAATATTACCATCGCCTAGCGGCTCTGGTATATATTTCCAAACAGTCGTTTATATAGGGCAATATTACCTTAACTAATAATATAAACGTCATGATTATCCAATGAAACTCGACTTTACATATTTAATATATATTTATGATTATGAAGTCATTGTTCTGCTCATGGCGTCATTGTTAGGCGCATGACGTCTTTGCTGCTGTGTAGCAAGTGGAATTTTAGAAAGAGTTGCTGTACATAATTATGATTGTCTAAAGGGTAAAATTTTATTATGTTTCGTGAAAATATAGTCCATATTTCACTGAAACGGAAAGCAACAATGAAAGCAACATTTTCAAATTTGAATATTGACAGTATGCTTACACCCTAAAACAACATGTTGATATAGCCTGAAGAATGAGGGATGGTTATCTGTCCCCAGATTTTTTGACTGGTATTGAGAAGAAGCTCCGCCAAAATATTGGCTTTAAGTATGTAAAATGTTTAAAATGTCTGACTACACTTGCAGCCGTTGCTGCTAAATCTGCAGTCTCTGCTAATCTATATACAGACGTTTTCCCTCTGTTTCTAGTATTGCAGTTTCTATTTTAAGTTCCCGACCCCCCCCCCCCTCAATTGAATCACCCCTGTTTCATTGGATCTTTCAACAGGGGCAGTTCCAATGACTGTTCTCTTTTTTAAAGGAACCGTTTTCGTAGGTTTACCACTATCACAATTGACATTATCAAGGCAATCGGGATGTTCATCGCAAGACAAGTCTATATTGCTAGACGACAGACCGGATCCTGCATGTGTCGTGTGATTGTGTGTGGTTTAGCATATCGTATTAATATTCAAAAGAAAATGAGCAGTATTTAAAACAAAGCTTTGATAAAAGATATTTTGTATTTGAAACTTGTATACAATATTTTAAAATTGAGAACACAGAAGCTGAGAACATACCGCCATATTTAACAATGAATCCTCCGTATTCGTTCTTTCCCCATGTCATTTTCACTTCTTCTTTCTCCTTCAGCTCACCCTTGAGTTCTAGTCTCTTACTGTTCCGACCGAGAACAGAAAGGGTTTGGTCGTCCGGGCAATAAACGCACACATACATTTTAATTAAATTTAAATATTTGTGTTCACTTTAAACGTAACAAAGACCTTCTCCTGAAAAAAATCAGAGTTCTGGGATAGCGTGGCTTGGGCTTATCAGAAAAGGCAAACAAAGGGTTTCATCTAACATGCGATTGGTCAGAATTTAAAAGTTACCAATACAGAGCCTGCATGTTCAGTCACGTGACCAATGTTCAGTTCCTTTTAAAAATGTCGGAAAATAGAAAGAGAAAACGCAGAGGAACGTACGGAAGACACAATAACGATCATGCAATAGACCACTTGGAGGTGGAAAGAATGTGGAATACTGAACTGACATCAGCAGAGTCTGAGGTATGAACATTGTGTTGTAGATATTAAGGTCGATTTGTATTTCTCCTGTCCTGAATAAATCTGCTGTACGTTTTTCTCTTTGGTTATACGTGTGTCTTCTTTATGTTATCGTTTGGAATAAAACTTATTTACACGTAAATTTGTAAACAAAATTTATGTTTGTAAAATACGGGTACAATTATGCTCCAATTCACCTTGTCTACGCAAAATAATGATTCGGTGAATATAAACAAGAGCTGTACACAATTTTCGCGGTACATGTATTCAAATGATTAAATAACTCAATCGTTAATAACTAACGAGTAAGCAACGAACGATTGCTTAACTATTGCTTTCGAGATACCCGCGCTAGTCTCTCGTTAACCAACCCTCCGTCAATCGTTAGCACGTTCGTAAACGCAAATATAACGATAGCTTCGAGATACTAACCCCAGATTCACAAGTGTTTCAGTAAGTTTTTAGCGCTTTCTACATGATTAAACTAAAATACATTAGTATAAACTAATATAAATATATAAAATTATATTGATGTGTGCACATTATATGCTAAAAACATGTTAGGTTTGAAAGGACCCTTGCACCATTGACACTCGAGACCATAACTAAATCACGATGATAAAAGATAAGAGAAAGAAAGATACACAATATGATGACAATAATGAAACCACTAAACATTAAAGCAACACGTCCTTAAATTTATATTAATATGAATACCACATTTACAAAATTTTCAAAATTGATAAAATACTTTCAGGTATACATAAGAAGTAATTTAAACTAACATAAGGCACTTGTAATCTGCAGGAAGTACCTAAAAAGAAGCCTTAAATTTCACTGCTTAAGTAACAAGAAATCTGAATTAAAGATAGAATTTTAAATTTTTTCATGACCTCAAGTGAATCTTGACTTTATGAATTGGCAATGTTTGTGTATTTCTCAAAAAGACAAAATATTAAAGATACACTAAGCTCAAATTTGATATAAGAAAATATTGATTGCTACACAGTCTCTTTGCAGACATAAAATGAACATGTTATGACTTTACACAAAGTAGATCTATATCTCACCTTTTAAATTCTACACACTTTATAGGTGGTCACAATATTAATATATATTGTCATTAAAAAAACTGCTAGTTTTTGTTTTTAAGAAATTTCAAATTCAGTGATTCATTTAGCATACTGCTTTTACATGACAATTAATGAAAAACCTATGGCAAACATTCAATTGTTCAAAATACAAAACAGTACCAAAATTAAACGCTCAATATTTTATTCCATTCTATTAATGTGTCAAATTTTACTACATTGTAATAAATGCACTTCTATTGTGACATCAAATTTGAGTCTTCCTATTTCTGAGGTCAAGTTTTACTATTTCTATTGCTTATAAATCAAATATTTATCAATAAACATACATCAAATTACTGATAGAAAAGAAATGAGGTCATTTCCAGTATTATAAATAACTAAAACATACATTTTTCAAAAATGTGATATGTAAAATATGTACTATTTTGATTCATAAAAAAGGAGGAATTAAACCTCTCAAAATGATAGTGAAATAATTTGTTGTGTAAAAGACAGTTATTTCTAATATCTCAGTAAAACAAGAATCATACCATCAGAGTTCTGTGACACCCAATCAGACATGCCTCTCATCTTTGGAAACCTCTCTTTCAGCCATCCCTACAAGAGCAAGAGCACCGCATTCAGTGTTAAGCTGGTCCGTTAAAAATTCTAAGATAAAACAGGGCATAACTCAAAAAATATTGCTTTCAGAATTATGCCCCTTGTCTAAAAACTGCACTTTGTCATGTTACGCAAGTAATCGAAATTTCATCTTGATGCCTTTTGAAATGTTTTAATAATGGGCTTCATTCAAGCTTTTGCTTGAAGATGAAGCAGAGATTTATGTAGCTACACTTTTTCTCCCAGACAAATAAAAATATACAAAACTTACCAGTGACATTATAACTTAAAAGTTATTTTTAGCAACAACCCATGCCTCTTATATTGGAAATTCTAATGTGTTGACCATATGAAAATTGAGAACATTTAACAAACCTGAAAACACATTTCCAGCTTTTCTGATCATTATACATATGATAAAAACAACCTCGGTCCTCATATACCATCTATATACAAGAATATTCCTTTGTTTGTTCCGTTTTAATGTCAATTTTAACATTTTTGGTCATCTCAGTGGTTCTTCCACCTTAACCAGCATTCCTGGATAAATGACCAATAATTAGGAACTTCTACCCAGGTGACTGACTACTAATTAGTAATCACCCATATTTTTCAATCAGCAGTTAGACACAAATGAGCATTAGACTAAATGTTCGAGATCGATAATCACCCAGAAATTACGCTACAAGAATAACATACCTTTTCAGGCAGGTGCATTCTGTTGACGAAAGCTCTCACTTGTGTGAATGGCACAGCCATTTTATCCAAAGTATCAGCTTCAGGAAGATAATCCTTCAACCACTTTATATCTGGTATACGTTCTTTCCACGACTCATATGTCTAAAAATAGACAAATATTTATTTAACTCTATAAATGTTGAAAACTGATATTGCAAAGCCTTAGCCACCCTTATCTTCAGCTGAGTTTATAAAGCTTGGCTAGGATGTACATTTCTATCATCCAATCACATCAATTATTTCAAGATTATCATTTTGATGTTCATAAATGATTACTATCTGTTTCAAAAATAAATTCAGCAGCTGAAAGTAAACTCTTAATGTATGAATCTAGCCTTATGATACATTATTAAACCTCATGTTTGCTCACATATTTGCTTCTTAACATCTTTTTTTGTTTCATTATTAATTTTGGTGAGGTTAAGTGCACAATAAACAATGTAAATACAAACACTGAATAGAGCAAAAGGTCACACATGGTTATGATGGTAAAGGTACATTGTATATTCAAACAGAATTTTATCAAAACTGAAAATATTCCCTATTCTATTTTCACTAACCTGATTGACTGCCAATCCACCACCTATTGCACCCGTAAAGATTAAATATCTGACACGCAGGAATCGACCAAGGCTTCCCATGAATCTCGAAAAGCCGCCCATGTGCCGAACTTGTTGGGTACACAAGACAATCTGTGGACCGAGGATTACCCTCAACAGTGGTCGTTCTACTTTTTGAGTGCCGACATGAAGATTTTTCAAACATCCTTGCGCTCTAATAGTATGTTGCAATACTAAAATATTTTTCTTGCCACCTTTGGCATTAGATGAGTTAGTTAAATTCCTTCTACATAGTGTAATTGTTTTTGCACCCTCTCCTTGTTGTACAGCATTTCCTAATCTTCTAACGCAATACTGGCAATTTGGTCTGAAATGTAAAAGGAAATCATGCACATGAACATCGCACATTCAAACTTTAGCATCACAATGATTCACAAGACAAAATGGCTGTTTGCCTGCCTGGATTTTTTCACAGATAACAGAAAGTTGCATTTATAATTTTTCTTAACATCATGGTTAACATATTAAAGGACTGATATATCCTTATGCCAGTTTGCTCATGTTTCTCTAATTTTCACCATTTATTATGGAACAATCAACAAGACAAAATAGTAGTGGGTGTGCCTGACTAGACAAAACTAGAGCTATCACTGAAGGTGATAAATACCCCCACAAGCAACCATTACGTTTGAAAAATAAGTGGTGTGAACAATAGTTTGAAGTTGAACTATAATTTATGAAGATTAAAATGAGTAAAAAGAATTGCAACATCAACCAGGTCTTCAAGAAAGCTTGTTTTATCTCATTCCTAGCTCAATTATCGTCCGGAAACAATTTTTCTATTTTTAGTAACGGTGACCTAGTCTTTGACCCCAGGGGGTCCATATGCAATACCAACCCAGGTATTCATACAAGCTTGCTGTACACCAAGTTTGATTGGAATATCTCATTCCTAGCTAAAGTTATTGTCCGGAAACCATTTTTCTATTTTTAGTAACGGTGACCTAGTCTTTGACCCCAGGGGGTCCATATGCAATACCAACCCAGGTATTCATACAAGCTTGCTGTACACCAAGTTTGATTGGAATATCTCATTCCTAGCTAAAGTTATCGTCCGGAAACCATTTTTCTATTTTTAGTAACGGTGACCTAGTCTTTGACCCCAGGGGGTCCATATGCAATACAAACCCAGGTATTCATACAAGCTTGCTGTACACCAAGTTTGATTGGAATATCTCATTCCTAGCTCAAGTTATCGTCCGGAAACCATTTTTCTATTTTTAGTAACGGTGACCTAGTCTTTGACCCCAGGGGGTCCATATGCAATACCAACCCAGGTATTCATACAAGCTTGCTGTACACCAAGTTTGATTGGAATATCTCATTCCTAGCTCAAGTTATCGTCCGGAAACCATGAAGGTGGACCGACCGACGGACGGACCGACCGACCGACAAGCTGACTCCTATATACCCCCCCTAAACTTCGTTTGTGGGGGTATAAAAAATATACATGGGGCTTATCTTCAGATGCTTGTCCCATTACATAGTGTCCCAGATTTAACCAATAAAGGTAAATAGCAGTTAAATATGATAAGATCATGGAATGTTTTCTAGTATACTTTCTGTTAATTATTCATCAAATAACAGAGATATTCCTGTAATGAAGTATTGAAATTTATTAGTATGCAAATACTTCTTCCTTTCATTGTTTCAAATTAATACTGAATAAAAACACTGTTATTTAATAATTGAGAATGTGAACATTATGATATGTTTATTTATCTGTTCATGCCATGGGCAGTTTTCACCACAGACACTTGAGGTATGGAGCTCCAATTTCCAAATGGTAAACCCTTTAAAATCCAATTTTGTTTGTTTCATTTTAAGCCTTTTTCAAACAGTATTTCAGTCATTTAGGTGGGTAGTTTCCTAACCATCATTCCTGGAGAGTTACACCAGTACTAGACTACCTTCCTCCGCGCTAAACTACCAAAGCATCTCCCGGGGATCGAACCCACGCTAGAGAAGTAACTGGATTAGAAGTCATCGACTCTAACCCCTCGACCACGGAGGCGGTGAATTAAAATCCAAATAAATTGCATATAATTTGTCAGTTCTTATCTAACATATCATAATCAATAAGCAAAGTATAAGCTGTTTTCAAAACAATTCATATTTCAACGTCTAAAATAATCACAGGATAGAAATAATCCCTGGAAAACATTCCACACTAAACCTGAAATGACAATACTCATAATAATATTGTATTCCATTCCATTCCCAACATTTTCACTCAATCCTTTTATTAATTAACTCTGTACATATTTTTTTTATGACCATTCTCAGTTTTATGTTTCATCTAATTCTTGCATACAAACAACACAATATGCCAATATTCAGAATAAACATAACAAGAGCTGTCCGTAAGACAGCGCGCTCGACTTTTTTATTGCTTGCCAATAAAAAAAGTTTTTGCAGTAAAAGGCAATACAAGAATCTCTGTATTTTTAAAGTGAACTAGTTGTTTGATACCCTTGAATATTACAGCAATGTTTATATGACATAATTTATGGTAAAGTGAACAAGTGGATAGGAATGAATTTTTTTAGATTTTTTAAGTTTTTTAGTGCTTGCCTATAATACAAAACATTGACAGTTAAGGGCCATAATTCAAATAAAATCTTTGACAGAATTACCTTCTCCTGGACATGTTTGGGAATCATGATTGTAAACAAGTATTCCAACTTTCAATTAATATCTCAAACAGTTCAGTCAAAAAGTGGACTGGTACTAAAAACTTAACCAAGATTCTAAGTCGATAAAAGGCCTTAATTTTTAAAACAAATCCTTGACAGAGTTACCTTCTCTTGCGTACAGATGGGGGTAATGATGTGAAATAGCATTAAAAGTTTCAAAGCAATATCTCAAAGGGTTAAGGCAATAAGTGGATTTTACCCATATTCAATGTATTTTCTAAGTCAAAAAGGGGCATAATTCTGTCAAAAACCTTGACAGAGTTATGTCCTCTTGTCTGTTGATGAAGGTCGTGATGGTAAACAAGTATGGTCAGTTTCAAAGCAATACCTCCAATGGTTTTGAAATAAAGTGAGGTGGTACAAAAAACTTAACCAAGCTCAATACACTTTCTAAGTCAAAAAAGGGCCATAATTCTGTCAAAAACCTTGACAGAGTTATGTACTCTTGTCTGTAGATGGAGGTTATGATGGTGAACAAGTATGGTAAGTTTCAAAGCCATACTTGTAATACTTCTGAAATAAAGTGGGGTGGTACGAAAAACTTAACCAAGGTGTGACGCCAACGCCGACGCTAACGCCGACGCCGGGGCGAGTAGGATAGCTCCCCTTTTCATAGAAAAGTCGAGCTAAAAATATTGACGTTTTTACTCCATTCACAAAATCTTTCATCAAATTTACTAGTGGCTCTCTGCTTTGTATCATTCAAATATGTGTGGCGCTTTGCATAATTAGTTGGAACTTGGTTCTTAGAGTAAAAGTATCATAATTTGGATGTTTGTTTTCATATTTTGTTGTTTAAAGATGATAGACAGTGATCCTGATTTAAGAAGTTAGAACCTTTACAGTATCAATAAATAAAAAAGATAAGAAAAAGTGAAAATGTTGGGAATGGAAAAATTATTTAGAGGGTGTACACAGACAACATAGCTTATTTTGCTTCATCATTTATTTCACTGTAATGGCATATTTCCATTTGACCCGTGTTAACATTGGTCAAAATTGACATATTTTAGTCATACACCAAAACAACGTTTTCGTGCAAAATATATTTAATTAATATGTAGATTTTTATGTAAAACAGAGCAACATTTTACTCATTTCTGCAAATAATATGATTTTCCTTCAATACAGCGTATATTAAGTATTATTGATTTATATAAGTGTACTGTATGTGTTGGCATTGACAAATATATATAATTATATGGATTTAACCACAGGGACCCAGCACAGATAGTGTAATACAATAATTCTAGAAAAAAAAAAAATATACTGTATATACAATATATAGACAAGGGGTTGAACTCGCCCAATTGGCTGAATGCTACTAGTTCAGTATAAGTCAAAATTGGAAAGTCATTTTTACCTCTCATATAAAGCTATACATCAAATTGCAGCTAAATGACATCACTAGACACTGACAATAACATTATTCATCTATTGTCCCCACTTAAACCATTTTTGAACAACAAACTGAAATTCTGATAGAATGTCATATTTTTGCTAGGTTGGACACGACCGTGTTACCTGTACCCACTCAATTTTCTATACATCATTACATGTGTAAAAATGCAATTTCAAACCATGTCATTGTACCAACCCACAATAAATTGATAAAACAAAACCAAAGAAACAACTTACTGCTGGAGATTGTTCAAAAACCAATCAATTATAGCAAAAAATAAAATATTTCTTTGAAGCCATGATACATTCTCGGCTCCGGTTGTAAGACGCCGTTTGATTAACAAGTCAGCTTCGTATTTTAATCAACAAATGAAATAATCCGTTTCAAATCAGTCACCTGATAGCCAATGGATGCTGATTTCAACTTTCATTTTCACATTCAGAAATTAGTTGTTTACAGATGTAATGAAACATTTTAAAAATCCATTTATGGTGGGAAGTTGTTTCTTTGAATTTGTTTTATCGATTTATCGCGGGTTTGGAATTTCGTTGTTACATGAAGAAAATCCCGTGGGAACAGGTTACATGGTCGTGTCCGACCTAGCAAAAATACGATATTCTATCCGAAATATCGATTTGTTTATCAAAAACGGTTAAAGTGGGGAAATTAATGTTATTGACAATGTCTAGTGATGTCATTTAGCTGCAATTTGTTGTACATGTATAGCTTTATATGATTCACGTAAAAATGACTTTGCAGTTTTGACTTATACTGGACTAGTGGCAAGCGGCCGATTTGCCGAGTCTACAGCATATATTTTTTTCTAGAATAACTTCTTTTACAATATCCCAACACTGTGCTGGGTCCCCTCAAATTATGTGAAAGATGACGAAATTTATCACGCTGTTTACCCGAAACATCCAGACAAAATTTTCAACATGGCGATAAAGTTTCTTCTACGTCAAAATGTTTCATATGTACAAATAGATGTGGAAAGTGTCGGATAAAATGTGTTTTTCATAAAAGTTCTGTGGAGGTCATTCTGAACGGAAAACACTGACACATTCCGAATAAACCGTACGACTAGACTGGTTGACCTATTCAATTTGAGCAACCAAAAGGATATTTAAATACCATAAAGAAATTTTAATATCAAGAAGTAATGTTTTATATAAATATGTTAGCTATGGAACTAAATTACCGTGTCAAGAATACGACAGACGAACTTGGTTTATCAAATTATTAGTTAAGTCATTTTATACCTCCAAGTCCGCTTAACTTCAAAAATCTTGTTAAGTCCTAACTTCGAAATCAGTTCATCCAAATTTGGAACAGTGATGTCCAATCTTTAAGAAAATGTTTAAAATACCGTTTATATAGATCAGAGTTTGTATTCGAAGATTATGTTACCATACTTCCTTGGCAACTGTCTTCAGCTTTGTTAAAATTTAGATGTATGAATCATAAAATGCCAATTGAGAAAGGTAGATTCCTATAAATATAGAGAGAAATTTACGTATATACTTCATGTGAGTCAAACCAACTCTGTGACGAATTTCACTGACTCTTTTTTATTGTTCATATTTTGTTGATAGTAGACGTAAATTTATTAAACCATATCCTATAGGTATCCTAATGCATTTAAATTCGAAGATCTTATGAATAGTAAAAACAAATCACATGTTAAAAAACCCTGGCTCCGTTTTGTTAAGAAATAAAATTACAACATGCAAATAATAAGTATATTATAATATTGTATCATTAGTCTCCTAGAAAATTTTGTTAATGAAGCATAAATTTCGGTTATTATTAAGAATCTATATAGTCATATCTTTATTTTATTTTACAGTCACCCATTCTCCTGTTTTATGTATATTTTTCTGTGTTCCGTTTTTTACATGTTTACAATTTTGTATTTTATGTCACAAGTCATGTCCTTATAAACCATGCCAGTATTGAATAAAATCGAAAGTCTTGAAATCTTGAAATGATTTTAGGGGAAAAATAAAGATGGAAGAAATACATGTATGCATGGTTAAGTGTTTGAGAGACTTGGTAACTATGCAAAATTGTATCAGCTAGACATAGAATTCTAGGTCTATTTGAAAAACCCTGATCAGACATGTACATATCTGAGTCTATAATTAACTATGTGGTATGAAGTCATACCTTCTTTTTCAAACAATATCAATTAACTACAATTTGTTTGCAGACAAACGTGTAGAATTGTCATAGTATTATTTAATAACTATTTACAAATAAAGTGCAGCGGTAAATATAAAAAATAAAGATGATATTACAATTTGAAAAATTTCCCCTTTATATTATGTGCTTTGGCTGAATTTAGTAATCAATTATGTAAATCAATTTAATTGAAGGATTATCAAATTGCCCAACATATAATTGCTTATCCAAGTCTCTTAGCGTTTGTAATTGTGTACATCATATATTAGGGGCGTCCGTGGCCGAGTGGTTAAGGTCGTTGACTTCAAACCACTAACCCCTCACCGCTGTGGGTTCGAATCCCGACAGGGACTTTGGATTCTTTCATGTGAGGAAGCTATCCAGTTAGCTTACGGAACGTCGGTGGTTCTACTCAGGTGCCCGTTCGTGCCTGAAATAATGCACGGAAGGGCACCTGAGGTCTTCCTCCACCAGTAAAGCTGGAACGTCGCGATATGACCTATAATATGTCGATGTGACGTAAAACCCAAAACAAACAAACAAACAAACATCATATATTATTTTATAAAGGAAAACTCAACAAAAAGTGTGATGACATTAGTATCATACCTATGATATGTATATTTTTCTTTTCTATAAAATGTGCAAACATGTAATTTATAATGTTATATTTAAAGATTAAGAATGTGTGATATGCTTAAAACCTGACGAATAAAACGTTGAATTTGAAATAATTGATGCAAATTGAAAACAACGAGATTATTTGACTTCCATACACAATACATACTTTATACGCATCATCTTTCCCAAGTTCATTTTAAAAATACTGATACATTTTGCACGCGCAAAGAATGAATAAATATCTAATGTAAAATACGGTTTACCATCTTGTAGTGAAACTTATATTGTAGTATTATCCCAAATACATTAAATAACGACATCATTCCGTTTGTGCAAGTGTCTGTTTCTTTTGTTTGTTTTTGTTTGTTTAAGAAACAGTGGCTAAATGTGAAAAATAAGGGTTGTTGTCATATAAGTTGTTGCCATTACATTCATTTCCGTTGAAAAAGTGCATACTTGATAAATGCAGCTTTATCAGTCACCCTCAGCTTTATCATTACATATTAAAATAAAATGAAGAGAATGGAATATTTTTTACCTTTCACTAGTTTGAAAATATGAAACTGATAAACTTTGAAAGGAATATGTTTTGCGAATAAGTCTCTCTTACACGAACTCGAGAGGTTTTTGTCATCTTGACTAAGAAAAAAAAAACGCACACCGAAATTGAAAACATAATAAATAAAATACCAAACAACACACTGGCCATAGCTTTCGCAGAAGCGATGGATCCATCGCAGCGGCGGTGGAGTATTCGTCGCAGAAGCGGTGGATGAAATATCGCCGTTTGCTGTTGTCGGTAAGTATATGACTGAATTTTGCTTTATGTTTTAATGTTTTACTTGAAACACTCAGTGAGACTGGAGCCCACATATGTACTCTTTAAACCTATTACACGCACACAGTGCAAATTATTACACACATGTACAAGTATTATAAAGAATTTTGATAGCTATTAATATTGCGAAAAACGTTTATATACGACCATATAACCTGTTGGATTTATTTATAACGAACTCATAATACATCAAGATAATTTCATAACTCGACGGCAGCCATGTATGTACTCGTATATAAACGTCACGATTATCCAATGAAAAGTGACTTAACAAACGTACACAATTATAAACACATACGCGCAAAATTAAGGAGGTTCAATACAATTATATTTTTTAAATTAACATGATGCTAGAATATGATAAAATAAACCTTTAGAGCGAAAACAAACTTAGGGGTCACCGATCTCATTTCCTGTATGTGAATTTGATTTTTTCCTTAATTGTGGTTATTTCAAGGTCATATAACTTAAATGTAAGTCTGAAAAATCTTTTTCCCCGCTTGTTATGTTCTTCACTATATTTGTGTACATTTTCAAAGAAAGACTTAATTCCATAAAATATTTCTATTACATTTTTTTTATTTCATTTCATACTTTAAAATTCTTTAAACATATACCATATTTGAAACCATTTTTTCCCGAAAAATATCACGAGTATCTCTTATATGTCTGTATGACAAAAAAATGTTGAACCTGGAACTTACGGTCTTTTTAAGTCCAAGGTTGAACGTGGATTATTCTATGATAATTATGGCTGAAGTAATTTTCAACGGTAGGAAAATGAAAGCTGACCTCGGGCATGCACTGCGCTGCGTTGCAATCGAATCCACCGCCTTCTAATACGAAAACATTTTTTGTCATTTATTTTATAAACAGGCAATAATAATTTCCCAATTTTCCAAATTATGGTTAATTTGTGAAAGTATCATTCATTCGATGTTATGCCGTTGTATTATGGGGTTTTGCACACATTTGTATGTGTTTTAACCAAAATTAGGCAAAAGTGGCGTCCCCTCATCAAACTGTACAGAAGTTTTTTGCATAAACGGCAATGAATTGCACCGTGTCTGTGTAATGGGTTGAAAGAATACATATGTGGGCTCCAGTCTCACTGAGTGCTTCCAGTAAAACATTAAAACATAAAACAAAAATCGGTCATATACTTTCCGACAACAGCAAACGGGCATGTTTTATCCACCTCTTCTGCGACGAATACTCCACCGCCGCTGCGATGAAACCACCGCTTCTGCGAAAACTATGGCCAGTGTGAACAAGTGTCTGATATTATAGATTTATCAGGCTCGGCAAGCCTTGTCTGAGAGATTTAGATATATCAGATACTAGCATGGTATTCTCTATAAAACAGAACCGTAAGTTTTAGGACCGGGCCTACATGTACTTCACGGTGTGTTTTTCTTTCGCAAAAATCATAAAACATCTATTCCCAAAGCCAAAAGGCAATAATTCGCAAATAAATTCCTCTTCCATAAATCAAATTAAGACCCAACATTTTTTTTGTCCAAAGAAAAAGTAAAAGTATAAATAAAAAATTGATAAAAAGGAGTGTTTTGTGACCGATCAAAGAAAAATAGCCACAAGAGTTTACAAACGTAATTTATATTAGATCTTTACATCTCGACAATCTTCAAGTATTTTTAATTAAAATCTGTGATGTTTCTTCTAGAATTGTGAAAGTTGTTGCCAATTAAAGTGCAGGATCAGCACCTGAAAATTTCGCAAACTTTGTCAGGAAGTAATTTTTCCACATAGATGTAAAGAGAGAGGGTATATTCGTTTCAACTTAAACATTTAAAGTTTGAAGTCTTAAATGGAGTCGACACTGTTACAATAAAGAACTATATAATTACATACATACCTTGTCTACAAATGTAAGCACGCCATTACATAGGTCTTTGAATATTTAAGTTAAAAAATTCAAATGCAATGTACTTTATTTAACATGTGATTATGCACCAAAATAAATAGAATTTCGTCTGGTACCGATTTGTTTAACACGAATGTGCCTATTGAACAGGAAATTCAGGTAAAACAGGTGATAGTGTTACAGTTGTCTCTTTGGTAAGTAAATGAATTTTTATATCAAACCCAAATTTGAATAATAATAATTCTGAGGTGTTATATTAACTTAAAAACTAAGCAGTTTAGAATTGAATAAAACACGATATATGCGAATAGATCTGATAAATGTTTGGAGCGCTGGCGATTTTGTTTTCAAATATATATGAAACCAAAAGTAGATTTTATTCCGACGAAAAGTTAGTGCAATGAATAAAAGGTAAATAAAGTATTAAAAAGGGAAACTTAAGTAATATTTAGAAAGAGCATCGAAACACGAGGCTATCTGATTTGTACGAGGGGTAACAATATGAAACCCCGGGAAAAAGTAACCAATGAACCAGC